TTCCTTTCCAAAGTGTGCTTCAAACATTTCATAAACAATAAGAATAAGAATATTTATTATTCCAATCAAGGGCCCTTAATGGACAGCATGACATGTACACAATATGATGATTATCCCTGCTTTTATTTTGGGAAACTCACCTTCAAAATTTTTGCTGAACTAATTAAACACTGAATTTATTTAACCTTTAAAACTTTGAATTTAGGACAATACTTGCATTATCAGGTATATTTCAATTAATTTATGGTGGCAAATGATATGAAAAGGTTGAAGGTTAAAAGTGGATAATCCATTTGGTATATATACTCTGAAATTTGATCTTTTATGCTAGAGAACATTTAACCTATAATGGTATATAAATATGTAGAGGCATGCAGTACAGACAAATCGTCTCTTTAAAAAGATCATCCATCTTGTAAAACTGCACTAAAATGATGGAGTGTGGCAATTTTATCTTTGTTTATTGTAAAATATAAATGTTGTTAAAAATGACAGAAAATGATAAATTTGCTCAAATTTTCTTTTTGTTGAAATTAAATATGCATGCTTTAGACAACAGAAAAAAAGGTAAATGATGAATTTATTCAAATTTTCCTTTATATTTCATGTAAATAAATGTGTATGTTATCTACATTGATGACATGATGAGATGACAGTAAAGAATTTATCGAAACAAAATATTTCTTTTATTACTTTTTAAAAATTCCTTTCAAAAAAAATTGTCAGATATTATAAAATATTCTACCTAGGGCATTGTAACATCATGAAACACTGATTCTGTAATTATTGCCCTGTTCTTAGTAGAAATTAATTTCTAAAAATTTTAAAAAGAAGTTTTGGTGAACCCTTATGCTGTACAAGCAACACAATGCTATTTAGAATTAGCTGTTTGCTTAAAGGCTATTGGAAATTTCTAGAGGGAAAACTATCTAGCTGAAAGAAAAACCCACAAATATAATGATTGTTTTGCAGTCACATAGTGTATTTGTATATAATGAAAAAGGTTTAAATTCCATTACATCCAGAAACTTGCAATTAGAAAGTCTACAATTTTATTATGACAATGTGGATTATTTTGTCCTATTTATTGACCTTATGAACATTTGATACAATGATACTTAGAAAAATACAAAGTTTATGACAGTATTGACATTTTAAGCTTCCATTATTGCCAGGGTTATATTCTGTTTCTCTCCTTTCTGCTCATGCTCCCAGCACCATCAGCTGAGGGTTAGTATTGAATGTTTATCATCTCTCTGCTAATGCTCCCAGTATCACATGTTAAGGGTTATATAACTGCTCATGCTCTTTGTATCACCAGCTAAGTTATATATATAGAGCATGTCTTTTACCAACTAACGTAATTAATTAACAAAATCGAGCTTTGAGTGGATTAAATATGTTAATGAGTAAGGCTTGGCTATATATGATTTGTAACATTAATGGGCTATGACACATGTCAAAGGTTAAATGCTGACCAATAAAACTTGACTGTACTTTTCAATATATGTCAATCAAATAGTGGGGTGATACTATATTTGATTTTCAGAAAATTAACACATGCAGCAGATGACAATTGGATTTGTATTTCAGATACAGAGGTACATTTAAATGAATTCAGACTAGATAGCCATTTATGTGTTATTGAATAGTTTTGTCTCCCCGAAAATTCTTGGGGAGGGGGGGGGGGGGGGGGGGGGGGGGTAGATGCAAAATTTTATTCGATGTTTATGTGCCTTCAAACCCGAAAGGATGTGTAGTTTCAAAGGAGTTTAAACGTTGTGATAAGAAGGAAAAATTTTCCAATACTAATATATGAAAGTAATTAATACTATTTTTCCATTTCCAACATCTGTAAAATGATCGGTTAATTGATTGGAATGGTTGTTGATGGCGAGTAAGTTCCAAGGGCAAATATTTGAAGCATGATCGATGCACGGAGATAGACCTTTATGAAATGGAGAAAATTACTAAACATCCAGTGACATATATTTCCATACAACCGCAAAAAAATTTGTGTTCCTATATTGCTTATGTTGTTGTCGTCCGAAGACATTTTGTTTCCGGACAATAACTTTAGTTTAAGTGTATGGATCTCTATGAAATTTAAGCAAAAGGTTCAATACCACAAAAGGAAGGTTGGGATTGTTTTTGGGGGTGATGGTCCCAACCGTTCAGGAATAAGGGGCCAAAACAAGCATTTTTCTAGTTTTCAGACAATATGTTGTGTTTAAGTGTGTGGATGTCTCTTAAATTGTACCACATTTTACAAAAGAAAATTTCTTCAAAAAATTTTTTTTTTGTAGGAGGGGGGAGAGGGGGGGGGGGGGGGGGGGGGTCAACAAGATTTAAGAAATTATCAATTTTTCAAAAGAAAAATTTGGGGTCACAATTTATTTTGCTAATTCTTTGTATATAGTCTGAAAACAGATTTACTATGTATTGCACAACAGCACAGTGAGCAGCAAGAAATCTTCAATTGAATATAAATTCAAATCATTATAACCAATTTCAAGTTCTTTGACTACATTTATTCTGTGTCAGAAACCTGTCAAATATTTAATTACAATCCAAATTCAGACCTGTATCAAGCTTGAATATAATTTGTGTCCATTTTTGCCCCAACTGTTCAGTGGTCGTATCCAGCTGTGCTCGGCGAAGCACATTTATTTTAGAATATTATTAATTTCGACACGATAAAAACAGAAATCCAACCAAAATAACAGTAGGAAAGTCATTTCTACTACATTCTGTTTTATTCTTTCATTATTTACTTCTCGAAGGAGGCGAAGCCAGACTGTGCATTAACAACTTCCTAGATGGAAGTTAGAGCACTGGTTTAAGCTCCTCCCATTCTTTGCTATTTCAACGAGATGTGGTCAACGGGGGATTGGAGAGTGCAAAAACTAAAAAATCATTCAGTTAACGCACTCCTCTAAAAATAACCGAAGTTAAAAGGAAATGATGAATTTATAAGGAAAAATTACCATTCATGTTACAAAGGTTATTATCTGTTTATGCCCTCTCTGTTCATGCCCAATGAAGCACAAACTAAGGGTTATGATCTGTTTCTCTCCTCTCTGCTCCCGCTATGGTAATGATTTATTATCCTGCTCTCTGCTCAGGCTCCCAGTATCACCAGCTGCAGGCTATCATCTGTTTCTCTTTCCTCTCTACTTATGCTCCCATCATCACCAGCTGCAGGCTATCATCTGTTTCTCTCCTCTCTACTCTTGCTCCTAGTATCACCAACTGCAGGTTATGATCTTTCCTCTCTGCTCATACTCCTAGTATCACCAGCTGCAGGTTATGACCTTTCCTCTCTACTCATGCTCCTAGTATCACCAGCTGCAGGTTATGATCTTTCCTCTCTGCTCATGCTCCTAGTATCACCAGCTGCAGGTTATGATCTTTCCTCTCTGCTCATGCTCCTAGTATCACCAGCTGCAGGTTATGATCTTTCCTCTCTGCTCATGCTCCTAGTATCACCAGCTGCAGGTTATGATCTTTCCTCTCTAATCATGTTCCCTGAGCATCACAAGCTGCAGGTTATGATCTTTTTCTCTCCTCTCTACTCATGCTCCCAGTATCACAAGCTGCAGGGTATGATCTTTTTCTCTCCTCTCTGCTCATCCTAGTATCACAAGTTACAGGTTATGTTCTTTTTCTCTCTTCTCTGCTCATTCCAGTATCACCAGCTGCAGGTTATGATCTTTCCTCTCTAATCATGTTCCCTGAGCATCACAAGCTGCAGATTATGATCTTTTTCTCTCCTCTCTACTCATGCTCCCAGTATCACAAGCTGCAGGGTATGATCTTTTTCTCTCCTCTCTGCTCATCCTAGTATCACAAGTTACAGGTTATGATCTTTTTCTCTCTTCTCTGCTCATTCCAATATCACCAGCTGCAGGTTATGATCCGTTTCTCTTTTCTCTGCTCATTCCAATATCACCAGCTGCAGGTTATGATCTGTTTCTCTTTTCTCTGCTCATTCCAATATCACCAGCTGCAGGTTATGATCTGTTTATAACCCTTTGCTGATGCTCCTGGTATCACTAGTTAAGGGTTATTATATGTTTCTCTTCTCTCTGCTCATGCTCCCAGAAGCACAAACTTAGTGTTATGATCTTTTTCTCTCCTCTCGTGCTGTCAGCATCACAAGCTGATGATTTTGATCTTTTTCTCTCCTCTCTACCAATGTTATACTCTTAGAATAATCAGCTATAAGTTATGAACTGTCTCCCACCTTCCCCTTTCTGCTCATGCTCTCAGCATCACAAGCTATGGGTTTTTATCTTTTTTTCTCCTCTTTACCAATGTTATACTCTAAGAATAATCAGCTATTGGTTATGATCTGTTTCTTGCCTCTGCTCATGCTCAACACATTCTCAGCTAGAGGTTATAATTCTGTTTCTCTTCTCTCTTTTCATTCTAACAGCACCACCAGCTAAAGGTTTATGATCTGTTTCTGCACTCTCTGCTCATACCCCCATCATCACCAGCTAAGGGTTATGACCTGTTACTCCTCTATCTTATCCTGCTCCTAGCATCATCAGTCAATAGTTATGCCTTGCATTTCTCTCCTCTAATACTGCCATCATCACTAGGTGAGGGTTATTGTATGTGTATCCCCTATCTACTCATACTGCCATCATCACTAGGTGAGGATTATTGTATGTGTATCCCCTATCTACTCATACTGCCATCATCACTAGGTGAGGATTATTGTGTGTGTATCCCCTATCTACTCATACTGCCATCATCACTAGGTGACGGTTATTGTATGTGTATCCCCTATCTACTCATACTGCCATCATCACTAGGTGAGGATTATTGTATGTGTATCCCCTATCTACTCATACTGCCATCATCACTAGGTAAGGGTTATTGTATGTGTATACCCTATCTACTCATACTGCCATCATCACTAGGTGACGGTTATTGTATGTGTATCCCCTATCTACTCATACTGCCATCATCACTAGGTAAGGGTTATCGTATGTGTATCCCCTATCTACTCATACTGCCATCATCACCAGGTAAGGATTATCGTATGTGTATCCCCTATCTACTCATACTGCCATCATCTATAGGTGAGGGTTATTGTATGTGTATCCCCTATCTACTCATACTGCTATCATCACTAGGTAAGGGTTATTGTATGTGTATCCCCTATCTACTCATACTGCCATCATCACCAGGTGAGGATTATTGTATGTGTATCCCCTATCTACTCATACTGCCATCATCTATAGGTGAGGGTTATTGTATGTGTATCCCCTATCTACTCATACTGCTATCATCACTAGGTAAGGGTTATCGTATGTGTATCCCCTATCTACTCATACTGCCATCATCACTAGGTAAGGGTTATTGTATGTGTATCCCCTATCTACTCATACTGCCATCATCACTAGGTGAGGATTATTGTATGTGTATCCCTTATCTACTCATACTGCCATCATCTATAGGTGAGGGTTATTGTATGTGTATCCCTATCTACGCATACTGCCATCATCACTAGGTGAGGATTATTGTATATATCCCCTATCTACTCATACTGCCATCATCACTAGGTGAGGGTTATTCACTTATTGTATGTGTATCCCCTATCTACTCATACTGCCATCATCACCAGGTGAGGGTTATTGTATGTGTATCCCCTATCTACTCATACTGCCATCATCACTAGGTGAGGATTATTGTATGTGTATCCCCCATCTACTCATACTGCCATCATCACTAGGTAAGGGTTATTGTATGTGTATCCCCTATCTACTCATACTGCCATCATCACTAGGTGAGGATTATTGTATATATCCCCTATCTACTCATACTGCCATCATCACTAGGTGAGGATTATTGTATGTGTATCCCCTATCTACTCATACTTCCATCATCACTAGGTGAGGATTATTGTATGTGTATCCCCCATCTACTCATACTGCCATCATCACTAGGTAAGGGTTATTGTATGTGTATCCCCTATCTACTCATACTGCCATCATCACTAGGTGAGGATTATTGTATATATCCCCTATCTACTCATACTGCCATCATCACTAGGTGAGGATTATTGTATGTGTATCCCCTATCTACTCATACTGCTATCATCACTAGGTGAGGATTATTGTATATATATCCCCTATCTACTCATACTGCCATCATCACTAGGTGAGGGTTATTGTATGTGTATCCCTTATCTACTCATACTGCCATCATCACTAGGTGAGGGTTATTGTATGTGTATCCCCTATCTACTCATACTGCCATCATCACTAGGTAAGGGTTATTGTATGTGTATCCCCTATCTACTCATACTGCCATCATCACTAGGTGAGGATTATTGTATGTGTATCCCCTATCTACTCATACTGCTATCATCACTAGGTGAGGGTTATTGTTAGACTTGCTACAATTCCCTTTCTTTTATTTCTTTCTTACTAATTTATATGTTTACTGTTAACTTCCAGTATACTGATTGCCCTTGGAGAAAGCCTTCCTCTGCAGATGTCAGTATAATGGTAATCTCCTAGTTATAGCAGTAAAATTGTTAAAGGGGCAAAATTAAAAAAAAATAATAAGGAAGGGACATGTAGCAAGTCTAGGTTATTGTATGTGTATCCCCTATCTACTCATACTTCCATCATCACTAGGTGAGGATTATTGTATATATATCCGCTATCTACTCATACTGCCATCATCACTAGGTAAGGGTTATTGTATGTGTATCCCCTAACTACTCATACTGCTATCATCACTAGGTAAGGGTTATTGTATGTGTATCCCCTATCTACTCATACTGCCATCATCACTAGGTGAGGGTTATTGTATGTGTATCCCCTATCTACTCGTACTGCTATCATCACTAGGTAAGGGTTATTGTATGTGTATTCCCTATCTACTCATACTGCCATCATCACCAGGTGAGGATTATTGTATGTGTATCCCCTACTGATACTCCCATCATCACCAGTTTAAGGTCCTAGCTCCAATAGGTAAGGGTTTTGATCTGTTTCTGTTCTTTCTATTGATGCTCTCAGCATCATCAGATAAGGGTAATGATCTGTTTCCCTTTCTTCCTGCTCAACCTCCAAAAATCACCAATTGAGGGTAATGGTCTGTACATCACTCTCTGCTCATGCTTCCAGCATCACTATCAAAGAGAATTCTATATTTATATGTATGCCAACCTGTCTGCAGCAGCAGCAGCAACAATTTATAAAACTTATTTTCAGTATATGATAATGAACAATCAACATGCTTGTACACTTTCTTAGGAGTTATAGGTCAACTGTTGCAAGATGTATTTGTACCTCTAAGAAAGGTCACCTGACTGACCCTGACCTCATTTTCACTGTTCAGTGATCAATATTTAGTTTTTGTACTTATGTTAATTTTTCAGAGACTACGAGAAATAGGTCAGTTATATTTAGTAATTCTTAAGTGTACTGTCTGTCTGTCTGACATGGATTACCTGACTTGACCCTGTTTTCATAAATTATATAAACTGTTAAGCCAACAGGAGCAGGTACAGAGTGGAAAATCATAGTCTTCAAATGTAATTGAATGCAATGTCATTCCAACTCTATGAAGATAAGCCATTGTCCACAGATTATTTTAACTTTACCTGATTTAGATGAGTAATTGTATTTTTGTGTTGATGCATAGAAGATGAAATATTTAACATTCCAGTCATATGTATGAATTACCTGTATCTTTGATAGAAGTATCCTTTTTTATTGTCATTTCTCATCAAATTTCATCTTTTGAACAAATGAAGTCAATTTTGAGTGAAGAAAACCCACTGATTAATGGATGTATTATAATTAAAAGTTAAAAATACAAAAATATAAGAGTAAGATAAATTTTCACCTGTCTATACCTGTTTATTTATGACTTGATGGTATGTAAAACACCCACTATCATGCCTTAACGACCTACCTGTATGGTCCTTTGATCTTTACATTAACACCTGTGTAACAAGTATTTGTTGCTTGTCATAAAACTGATGATAAAATTGTTGAATATGAAATATTTAAAAATTCTTTCAAGGATTATGGTTGGTAATCTATGTATTAAATGTGTATGGTAGATGACACTAACTATATGTACATTTTTAAGTGGTTAATTTTCACTTGAAATTAAAAATTCGTAAACATGTAAAGCAGAATGGGTGGTGATGCTTTTACCAGAGACATGTTACATGTCTGCTTTTACTTACTATATAAATCATTGCTTTTACTATGTAGGTAAACAATTAAAAAATTGTGGCAAAAAAAGAGGTCTCAAACATATGACAGGATTCATTATAACAAGAAGATAAGATAATACAGCTTTACCTTTTGAAGTTGTTTGTTTTTGTCATCTCAGAAATTAGTTATTCTACTTGTCCATTCTTGTTCCGAACTCTTGTCAATTATACAAAATTGTGTATTTTAAATGATTAACTTTAATCTGATTGATTGAGTGTTGTGTGTTTAATGTATTAACTATGTATTGGTTTAATTGGATTAATTATACACAAGTTATTTTATCAAAATGTTTTTAAAAAAATCTGAAAAAAACGTTTAAATTTGATGTATTCCTGGCCTTGTGGTCATACAAATTGTTGAGCAGGATTATCGTACTCAGGCTCAGAAATTAACCAATCAAAATACTGGATTTGGTGTTTTGAGTACAAATTTTGTACTCTGAGTAATGAGTAATTTTTTATGATCAAGATTCCTGATTTTCATATCTTTACTATTTCCTTGGGTTCTTTTCTGTTATATTTGTGTTGATACAAGTTATAGATTAACATGTACAATTATGGCCTGAATCTGACAACTTGTCAAAGAACAAATGGTACAGATGTCTTATAATGTTAGTTGTGTTTCCTTGTATGTATGTGCCGATCCACAAGTAAAAATATCAAAAGTATATAAATAGACATGTAGACCAAAAATAAGCCTATAAAACATTGAACTTTGACAGCTTGTATAACCCTCCAATTAATCATCATGTTGTTAACTAGCACAGTCTTTAAAAATTAGGTCAAAAGAGAGAAAATAGAATTATAAAATCATTTAATAAATTTCATATTTGTATTTCAGACAACAGAAAGTTTGAATGTTCCAACTGGAAAAATGAAGTCATTCCATCAGGCCAAGAATTTGCCATTTACAAGAACGAAACCTGTCAGGTTTGCTTGTGTAATGATGGATCCCCAAAGAATTGTAGAAAGATTACTTGTCCTTCTAAATGTTCAGACCTTGAAGATGACAGTTTGTGCTGTTCAAAATGTTCTAAAATACTTAACAGTAAAGCTGAGGAGGTTTCTGCAAGTCTATCAGAGGTATTTAACATCACATCAGATCAGTCTGACAAACAGTCTTCTAGTCCACCAGCCATACCAGGTAAAAGTACACCAGGTCAATCAGAACCAGCTAGTCTACCTCAGTTACCACAAATATCTCAAAGTACATCTGACCAACCAGACAAATCAGATACAGAACAGAAACCAGGAAAGACTGGGTTACAAAATGATGCTATTAACAATAATCCTCTAGCAGACAATATTGACACTAAAACAATCAAACAGTTTGACCATACAACTAACCATGTCGATATGGTTAAAGGGGATGTCATGTCCAATCAGAATTCTGTGGAAGATCAACATGCTAAGATAACCACACTAGAGTTGATCGGCAACAAAAGTTCTGTTGAAGTTGGGGATGATTTGGATGTTAAGTCTGCTGGCAATGAAAGTTCTGTTGGAGTTAGAGAACATTTGGATGATAAATCTAGAGGTAATGAAAGTTCTGTTGGAGTTAGAGAACATTTGGATGATAAATCTAGAGGTAATGCAAGTTCTGTTGAAGTTATTGAACATTTGAATGTCAAGTCTATAGGCAACGAAAGTTCTGTTGAAGAAAAAGGACATTTAAATGAAAGTATACAACAGAATTTGTGGAATCAAAGTTCTGGTGATGAGGAAGATAGAAATGTAACAGAGGATATAGTAACATTAGAGTTAACAACAACAAAACCAATCACTGGTAAGATAAATAGAGCTGGTTTAATAGAATTGATCAAATTTCCTGCAACATTGAAGTCAATAGTTTTCATGATTAGCAAATTTTCTAAATTGTTTAAAAAGAAAGTAAAAATATTTCACCTTCAATACAAAAAGTATTGTAATATAGTTGTAAAGAAATGGAGCCATTGTAAACAACAGCGTTTGCCCTCATTTAAAAAAAAAATTAAATCATTGATGAAGGTCAAGATGAAATATTTTATGTATGGACCAAACAAATCCTTAAAAGACTATATCCCTTCCCCAACATTGCCAAATCTAATATCTTACTTTAATATCAAACTCCAACATCAAGACTCTGGCAAGAAGCAGTAATAGTGCATATTCCAACAAAAAATTATACTTACACAATGTTTTGCTTCTGTCTCCAACAGTAATGAATGACTGCAATCATAGTGCAGTATCAGTTGTATACAGATAAAGAATGTAATAATGATTTTTAAAACTACAAATAAAAGACCATTTGGAGTTAAAATAATAGTTATTATCTTTAAAGTTTATGATATGCTATTTTTTGGTGTTTTAACAAAGATTGTAGGCAGATTTTATCAAAATAACTGATGATAAAAGAAAACTGTAACACTGTGAAAAAATGGGAGACTACTCAGGTCTACAAATAAGATTTGTTAGCTTATCTCCACAATTTTACAATATAAAAACAAATAATTTTTAGATTAATGTTTATGAAATTTATTATATATCATGGATCAATTGTTATTTACATGTATGTATGCAAGAAGATATTTTAAAAGAGACTTTTAACAAACCTATAAAAAACAACATTATACTTATGAAGCTCCATCACTACTCATTTGACTTTAAAAGATACTAAATTATTATCAATTAACAACTTGATCTAATAAAAAATTACAAGACACCGTTTTACTAAGTATCTGTTCATTCCTTAACATTGTTGACTTGCTGCACCTTTTACTTATTGTATCAGCTAGCAAAACAATATCAGTTTGGTTTAACATGCAAGTAACAAGTGCAATTTTGTAAAATTTGAATCAGTAACTACAAAGAGAGAATGGCACCACTTACAGTCAAAGCATAGTAGAATATTATAGTACATGTTGTATAATTTCATATAATACAACTATTCACCAAAGTCTCCATGTCACCATAATAGAAAAACAAAGGATATGGGGTATCCATCCATGACACAAAATCAGTACATGCACAGAAAAAAACACACAAAAAGCAAAGTTTAGATGTTTACCAATAAAAAATGATCTACAACTAAGATAAACTATTAAAAAAAAATCTCCTTTTTAAGGATTTAATCAACAACAATAAACCAAAAACAAATCTAACAAAAAGAACACCACAAGCACTGGACTACAGGCTTGGAACTAACAATGTATGGTTAAACATGTGTAAGTGAGTGCTTGGCTAATCTGTTACAGTGGAGTCAACAAACAAATCAATGCAAAAAACTGTAAAAATTAAAGGAAATAGACAAGACTGATATTTGACATTGTCATCTAGGGAAAAGAAAGAGACACAAACATATTAACATACACATACATAATTGCTTACATCAATTTCATTTGAACTCGGGTGGATAGTTGTCTTTCGGCAATCAAACCATATCTCCTTTTTTTTTTTGTATAATTATTTATTCAGAATGGCTGTAAACAAAATATCCACATTTGATGGCAGACAATAGTATGTTATTCATAAATGTGCAGTTCTATTTTCACTTCTTTTTAGACATTTCTAATTTTCAAAAATAGTGATTTCTATAAAATTGATATGAATATTTATTCAATTTTGTAGAAGTTCCAAACATCACATGTACAGACTGGAAGGGAAAAATTTTCCATTACGGAGAAGAGTATGCACCATACAAGGAAGATAATTGCAAATTATGTGCATGTGGTCGTGATTCTTCTAAACAATGTAGAACTGTACGAATCATTGAGTGTCCTGACAGGAACTGTACATACTATGTATGGAAGATAGGAATGGATTGTTGTGAATATGAATGTATCAATGATATCAATGACATTAAAAAGGGGAGACCTATGAAGAAGCCTAGAAAGAAAAGTAAGAATAGCTATTATGTCATGTATGATGTTAGTAGGGGGAAGTGTACTGTTCTTTGACAATTTACAGGTTAGATGTTTATGAAAAAAGAATAAGGCAATTTTCAAGAAAAGTTAAATCAAGAATGAATAAGAACAGTATATCACACTTTGGACCCCAAAAGCAGAAGGATGAAATACAAACAGTCTATATATACAATGTATTCCAACATAATACATGCATAAATAGGGAAAGGTGATCAAGTGATAGTTTGACAAGTAAAATACATCACCATACCTAAATTGATTTATTTAAATTGATTTATCTCAAATGATTACTTGACAATATGTAATATCAAGATCCTTAAGTTTTAGGTAGTCTTAAAATTCAGAAAGTTTTCCAGTGTTCCTTAAAGGAGTTAATGTTTACTCTTTTTGTACTTCTGATATCATTTTCAGTGGGTGTGTTTGATGCTTATTCCCCTTTCCCATGGTCTCATCTATGTAATATTAATATCATATGTCAGTGGGTGTGTTTGATGATTATTAAGTATACTGTAAAAAGGAATAAATGAGAATACTATGACACTCTTCTACAAAATTGTTAAATTTATATGCATTTAATTGCAAAGTAAAAATCCCAACCAAAAGAATGCTTTAATGAAGGAAATTTGAAAAGACATATGAACTTTAAGTATCATAGGGTCGTTTGTCATAAAATTTTCTTTTTGAAGTATTTTATAGTCCATGTAGAAAGTGAAATATGGATAGGTTGTTTGTGTAGAATATTTCTTTTCTTTACTTCAAAGAAGCTATAAAATGAAATAAAAATCTACCCGGTTTATCAGAATATTAGCATAATAAACTTAATGAGACAGAAAAATCACCTATCCTATGTTTATATACCCTGTTCTGAAAATCTTTTCACTTTTAAATTAAAATCAGATTGAAAAGAAAGTAATATATTTGCATTTTAAGGTGTTATTCATTGTGCCATAATTGCAAATGCTATATCTTTTTCTTATTCAGATATCTATTTGAAATTCTGATCATGAATTTGTTGTTGAATATTTGTGAAAAGTTTTAATTTATAGTTTTACTTATTCCTTTTGAGTGATGTTCATTTATGAAGAGTTTTGTATTGTAACATACATATTCAGAACAAATTTGAGTAGATAGATATGTTATTTACTTTTACAATTCACGATAAACTATCTGAATAGAACTTTCAAATATCCCTATTATAGTATAAAGGCCTTTAGTACAGATCTTTTTGTATAGACCCATCTCTTTTTTTCATTGGATATTTTTCGCTTGAAGGTCAGCTATAGAATTAATCCTAAACTCTAAAATAAGAGTTATTTTTCTCTCAGCGTTTGGCAAGAAAACTTTAATAATAATTGTAATAAGAATTACAAGCTGGTTCCTTATTCATGTACCATATGTAAAAACATTGGAATCCCTGAAACTGGGTAGGAAAATCAGATTTAACTCAGCGGATGCTGCCCATTAGATGAACCTTGGCTGCTAATATCAAATATGTGTTATTTTGTTATAATTGGTTGATTTATTAGTTCTTATATGCACCTAACTTAATTAAAACCAAGTGAAAAGACAAAATCATAGGTGATAGATAATACAAACGATATGGCCATCAGTTGGTTATAAATTGGATGATTAAAAGGGAATGCTGAACCCAATGAAACAATGTTTCTACCAATTTTCCTAGAAAGCTGACATAGTAGGGTGTTCAAATTGACATTATGTAAAACATCAAGAAAACCCTTCAACAAGGCCTCTGTTTTGAAATATCTTTTGACTACATATGTATGTCAACTCTGAACTTGATATTCACTGAATGCATCAATACATGACATGAAGTAAATAGGAGTTATCTACCATTGTATTGTTATCAATGAAACATTCTTTTTTTCATTACAAAATCATAGTGTAATGTTTTGTGTATGTGAATGTCATGCTGCCCACCAAGGACCCTTAATTAATTGTGAATTTGTGAGTTTTTTTCTAAATCAGCCCCTAGAAATTACCCTAAAGATTGATTGATCAAGCACGATATTTTCTGCTTGGTAAAGTATTGGTCCATGCTGTCAACAGTTTGATGCTTTACTCAGATGATAATTTAATCTCAGAGAGGTGTACATAGTGTTACCCTGGTTAACAGTTGGGAACCTTCTTATTAACCATTTTTCAAATGATTTCATTTAAAAGCTTTTAGCACACACCTGCCAAAATTCATTTTATAAAATTTCACAGGCATATATACAAATAGTTAAATATCCAAAATAAATAGATATTTCTTGAACTGAACATCTTAAAGTGTGGAGAAAATAGGGAGGATTTTTTCTTTGGAAATATTTTAGTTGTTTTTAGTACAAATAGACAATAAACATTTCTGTTTTTTCGAGTATAAATGTAAATCAACTGAAATATCTTGATATTAATGATAAGAATTTAATTTAACTTGTGTCTGATTTTGTGGCATGTGTGTTTATGTTAATTGACTAGGTTTACCAGTTTTCCTACCAACATAATATAGCCAATAGTGCTGAAAGTAGTGTTAAACACTTACAATTAATCAATCATATAAATAATGGTCAACTGTAGTTTTTTGTCGAGCCTTCAACTTTTGTCGAAAAAGCGAGACATAGCGATCCTACATTCCGTCGGCGTCGTCGTTCACTCTGTGGTTAAAGTTTTTGAAATTTTAATAACTTTCTTAAACTATCCTGGATGTCTACCAAACTTGGACAGAAGCTTGTTTATGATCATAAGATAATATTCAAATGTAAATTTTGTAAAAAAAAAATTCAATTTTTTCCGTATTTTACTTATAAATGGACTTAGTTTTTCTGCCAGGAAACATTACATTCACTCTGTGGTTAAAGTTTTTGAAATTTTAATAACTTTCTTAAACTATCCTGGATTTCTACCAAACTTGGACAGAAGCTTGTTTATGATCATAAGATAGTATCCAGAAGTAAATTTTGTAAAAAAAAAATTCCATTTTTTCCATATTTTACTTATAAATGGACTTAGTTTTTCTTCCAGTTAACATTACATACAGTCTGCAGTTTCAGTTTTTAAAACATTTATTAGATTCATAAACTATCCTGGATTTTAAACCAAACTTGGACAGAAGCTACTTACAATCAAAAGATAGTATAGAGAGGAATATTTTTATTAATTTTTTTCCTCATTTTTGTTGAGCCTGTGATTAACAGCAAAAGTAGGCGAGACACTGGGTTCCGCTGAACCCTTACGAATTTTTTTTACATCCTTGCCCTTTTGTGTTGATAGTTATAGCATTTGGCAAACACACCACATATCCCTTTTTATAATGATTTGTTGAAAAAATTAAGACAATTTTCATGTTATGTCCCTCATGGGAAATCACCTGTTGGTAAAAAAGGTACTATATATAAGCTAAATTATTACCAGTAGTTATGGAACTATACGCTAATTGGAACACCTGTTGCAAAGTAAATTTAAGATTGAAAATAGAGTACTTGTGGAAGGTATTCTCCTTTGGTTGAAATAGTTCTCAACTTTTGAACTCTTATGTCAAATAGAATTTAAAGATGACAGTTTAGTTTGAATAGCTTCTTTATGGAGTTATTTGGCTTTTTGCCTTTGATCTGGTTGAAGAAATTGTTTATTTTTTAATATGAAAATAAGGAGATGTGATTTGATTTCAGGTGAGAGGACTATCCAGCTAACACCCAAGAATAATGATATAAACAACTACAGGTCACCACTTAGAAATTATTGATACCTGATCCTTAATGTCCATTTATGATACTTATGATACTAAAAACAATATTCTAAATTATTTATATTTTTTATCCTTTTCAGAATTAGAAATTATTAAGCCACCAAAAAATGCCACTGTTTCAGCTGACTACAGCCATACCTTTCACTGTAGAGCTAACAAACGTACAAATTCCCATCATCATGTACTGTATAAATGGTTCAAGGATGGTGAGAGAATAAAAGATAGATTTAGCCGAGATGAAGATACTGGCCATGCTAAGTATGACATAAATAAGAAGACAGGAAGTTTGAAGATTATACACGTGCATGTGAAGGACAGGGGAGAATACTTTTGCAAAGTCAAACATGGCAACGAAACACTAATATCTCACAAAGTGTTCTTAGAAGTTCAAGGTGAGTTCATTGGGTCAACCGTGGAAAAGAAACTGTGTTGTCTCATAGTCTCATAAGATGTATTATATGTACATCAAAGTTATAATTTATATTACTTCAAGATAAAGCTATGTCCATCTCCCAGGATATATTTATTATAAAAGTTTAGCTGAAGGACATCCAATCATTTTTACTAAATGAAAGTACTTTTGAAGCAAAGAGCTGTAACTAGTAACAAATATTGTAAATTCAGAAATTGTTGCATGCATTTATTATCGTGATTTTTGAAGAATGGACAAAATTGTGAGAATATTATTGCAATTTCTGGAAAATATGCATGCAGATATATTCAGAATGCAAGTACTTATTATATCAATGCTCACCCAGTCACATTATTCAATTAATAAAAACCTCACAATAATTTCTGAATTTACATTTATATCATTTATTTGTGAATGTTGCCAAATATTAAAGAAAAACAACTGTTTTATCACTTTCAAATAAATACGTTTTCAGTGCCAGTCAAGTTTGTTGGACTGATACCATATAACCGAACTGTAAAGTGTGGGAACCCAGTTCAGCTGGTCTGTAATGTAGCAGGGATTCCAGTACCAACAATGATCTGGAGCAAAAATGGAGTAGAGGTATAGCTGATAAAAATATGTAGTTCAAGAGAAACCCTGTGGCAATCATTTTTTGCTGACCACATAAAAAAATCCCATATTCTTGAAATAGAGGCATAAATACCAGTTCAGCAATACATGCTTTCCTGAAGCTTTGAAATTTTACTTTTCTGTTGTATTTCTTTTTGTCAAGCAAATAGTTTTGTCATAATTTTCTCATGAACTACTGAACAGAATGACTTCATATTTGGTCACCAGCTTGACAGTGAAGAGTTAAAACCTGTGAGCACTTTCCTATTGGCTGATACTTTGAATTTTTCTATATGTTGAATCTTCTTGTCACACATTTCTTCAGTACCATTCAACAGAATGACTTTATATTTGTTAAGCAGCTTGACATTATAAGAGTTGTGATGTGTGAACAATTTTCAGATCTGACAGGAACGCAATTTCTGATTTTATATACTTTGTAACTTTAGATTATAGGATGTATAAATAAAGTATTGCTAAAATGTAAGTCTCCAATAAGAAATAAAATTATAACTTTCATTTGAATAAATGACCTGTACAGTATGTCATTTCAAATAAATGTTTTTTCATTGTTGAAGGCTGTACAGTTGGTTATAATTGCTTACATCCACTTCATTTAAACTTTGTTGGATAGTTGTCTTATTGGCAATCATACCACATATTTTTATATGTATAAACAGTATTCATTCCATAATTTTGATTTCTGATACCCTCTTTCAGTTTAGAACTTAATACCATTTTTTGTCGAGCCTGTGACTTAGGGATAGTGATCTGGCAGCGGCAGTGTTAACTAACTACTTAAAAGCTTTATATTTTAGAAGGTGGAAGACCTGGATGCTTCATACTTTGTATATAGATGCCTTATGTTATGAAGTTTCTGTCTGTCATATGTCCATTGTCCTTGACCTCATTTTCATTGTTCAGTGACTACTTGAGAAAAAAAAGTTAAGATTTTTTGTAATGTTAATTTCTCTCTTATTATGAGTAATATGATAACTATATTTAGTATGTCCATACCTTGCAAGGTCCTCATGCCTGTCAGACAGTTTTCATCTAACCTCGACCTCATTTCATGGATCAGTGAACAAGGATAAGTTTTCGTGGTCAAGTCAATATATCAGATACTATAAGCAATAGGTCTACTATATTTGGTGTATGGAATGATTGTAAGGTGTATATGTCCATCTGGCAGGTGTCATCTGACCTTGACCTCATTTTCATGGTTCAGTGTTTTTAAAGTTAAGTTTTTGTGTTTTGATCTTTTTTTCTAATACTATATGCAATAGGTCAACTATATTTGGTGTATGGAAATATTTTCCGATGTACATGTCAGTCTGGCAGGTTTTATTTGACATTGACCTCATTTTCACGGTTCATTACTCAGTGTTAAGTTTTTGTGTTTTGAACTGTTTTTCTTAAACTATAAGCAATAGGTCAACTATATTTGATGTATGGAATTATTGTCAGGTGTATAGGTCTGTCTGGCAGGTATCATCTGACCTTGACCTCATATTCATGGTTCATTGGTCAATGTTAAGTTTTCATGGTGAAGTTTGTTTCTTAGATACTATAAGCAATGGGTCAACTATATTTGGTGTATGGAATGATTGTAAGGTGTACAAGTATTGCCGGTTTGGTTTATCTGACCTTGACCTCATTTTCTAGGATCATGTTAAGTTAATGTGATACTTGTAGTAAAGCTTTATATTTAGGACTCAACATAAAATCAATGGTCAGTAAAGCAAGCAAGACATTTCAGTGTGTGCACTCCTGTTATCATAGTGTCTTGTTTTAAGCAAATGTTTTAGAAAGATCTGTCCTTTTCAGCTTGGTAGCACACCTCCTGATGGGATCTCTATCTACACAACTGTACAAGGCAATGATGTTCTGTCACGACTCCTTATCAAAAATGTCACAGAGACCAGTAGGTACGGATGTAGAGCATACAACAAGCCTAAATCACCTCCTGGTAAACTTGCCATAGTCAGACAAGATGTCCAGGTTACAATGATGTGTTCTGGTAGGTATACAATTAATTTTCACTTCCCCTTTTTTTTTCAAGTCCAGCTATTCTCGACATCATATGTTATTTGTTTTAAAATTAGATGGACTTGTTTAAAATAAGATGGTTTTCAATAATTTTTATTATTGAAAAAAAAATTTATTCAATAGGTTTTGCAAAATTTCCTGAAATTGTAATATTTAATCTTGAATTTTCAACATTTGTTCAATTATAGCAATATTAAACACATAGATATTTCTGAATTAACAGTTATATGATGGCATAGATAGGCCATTAGATAAAACTAATCTCTGACCATAATCCCTTTCTCTCCATCCTCAGTGACAACATCTTTCATGGTTAAAAGTTGTCATTATTGTAAAGAGCATTATAGAAGAGGGGTGCTCATTTCCCAAATCTCACTTTTTTTTGCAATTTTTTCCCAATTCCTACTTGTTTTCCCCTTCTTTTCCCAGATCCTACTTTTTTTTACCCCCTGTATCCCAAATCCCCACTTTTTTACCCCCTATATCCCATATCCCCATTTTTGTGCCCCTATATCCCATATCCCCATTTTTGTGCCCCATATCCCCATTTTTGTGCCCCTATATCCCACATCCCAACAGCATGTCATCCCCCTCAGAGAAGGTCACATGACTTTTATTTTACTGGAAATAAGAAAACCATTATTTACTCTTTAAACTTAAAATACTCCCAAAATATGTCAGAATTTTAGAAGTAGAGTTATTGCAAATGCATTCAGTAAGCAATTAAAGAATCACATTAAATTTGTAAGAATCTGAGTGTTTACCAAATCTGTGTATCATTGTTTATTCAGTCTTTGTCTTTTGAGACCAGAGGCGTCAGTAGTTGAGAAATATTGTGATTCATGTGATGTTGTTATGAAGATTTCCCTTTGTCTCCGTACATCTGTTAATGCTTCTTTGTTTCCATTCCATTTCATAATAGTTTTTCTCCTAACCACTTTATTTTATCCTCAGGATATTAATTTTATTTCATTGTTTACTATTTTGTTCTTGTTCTAGATACTTGTAATTGAATGTAGCAATGGAAATGAATTGATATTTAGATGAGAAAATTTAATCAGTTTTGAATAACAAATGAATAAAATCCTTTATAATTAATTTTATAAGCACGAAAGTATGAAGGATAATGTTTAATAATAAAATGTCAAATATTTTCTACAAAATTTGCTAGAGCAATGAATATTTTATTTGAAACAGAGTAGATTCTTAACACGTTAGTGATGATGTTACTGTAGCAATGTAATTAATACACAATAATATTATAAAAAAGTTCAGAAGATTATTTATGCCCACCCTCAATTTAAAAGATAAATAGATTTTAATCTGATACATGCTCTCTTATGTTACACTAACTCCATATTTTTTTATCTTCTTATTCAACTAAGTATAGAATAGTATGAATATATTTTTGGTTGCCATTTCATTTTTGGAATCTGTTCCCTTTCAATATTTTCATTTTGCTTACTTCCATTATTCCTATTCAATATTTCCTGATATTAACTGCTGTAGCCATATAATGAAGTTGTCTCTCCCCTATTTCCATGCTCCCTTTTCCTTTGATTAATTCTATTTTGTTATCCTCTCATTTCTATGTCTCCCCCTCCCTTTTCTAGTGTTGGACATGCTTTTCTAATGTATTAACAGCAGTCTACTGTTATTAAGCTGTTTGACCTTTGATCTTATTGTGATTCTGTAATATAATGCTCCATTAAAGTAACATAAAAGTCTTTATAGTGATAATCAGGTATGATAAGTATTGTCCATTGGTCAGTCATCATGTCCATAGGGTCAGTTTTCAATTAAATGGTCCATTAGGCATATGTTTTGGTTTTGGGCAGGGACATATTAATGTTTGTGATGATGTGTATCAAACTCTGTGATGAGTAATAATAAATTGACACAAAGGAAACAAAAGACTAGTTTAATCTCATTCAATATTCACATGGGAACCAGAAACAATTCTGATGAAAATTGTGTGTGTTCGATGGGAAAAAGAGAGAAAATTACTTTTAACTTGAGCTTGATAAAAAGCAAAGAAATTTTAATTCTTTTATTGAAAAAAAAAAAGATTATTAAAACAGATTGGAACAAATAAATTGATCAGAAAGTAAAATTACTGCAGTATGGCTTAAAGTAAATTTTCTGCATAATTTTGAAAGTAATTTGAACAATTTAAGAATTGTATCTGGACTTAATGGATTTATAGTTTAGATATTATCAACTCAGTGGAATGCTTGCATTTACTTACATTACAGGAGTGCTTTGAATGGAAAGTAGCTTTTCATAAGAAATGTGATTTTTTTTCTATTTTATCAGAGGATCTTTTACTTTGTTATCAGTGTTTTAAGAGACTGCATATCAGAAAATTTGGCAGGAATATGCATTATTTTATTTATTTTGTCTTCATTGTGCCTCAGTACCTGGATTTCTTACCTTGAAAATTGTTATCATTAAAGAGATGAACACAGATTTAAGATACTAAATTGTAGAATTTCTGGGAAATTATATAATTCTAAGATTGTGATTATCAGACTAAAAGCTACATTTGTGATGATAAATATTTCAATATTTTGACCTATCAAGAATATATCTGACGTGAGAGTGGCAACTTCATGAAAAGTGCGAAATACAAAAAAATATTTTAAATCTGTAGAACAAATTAGAAACATAGAATACTTGACTGAAGTTTTCAAGATCAACTTAAACATAGCAGAACTCAAGTAGATTAAATGAAAACAAGTAAAACAGGTGATACTGATAATTTTTTCAATATATCAAAATAGCTGTTTTGTATGATGTACAAATTGGAAGAAAAAATTGGTAATGGTTGATATTTATCTTGAAACATTTGTGAAAACATTTATATGTATCCAAGTGCCTTCTCAATGGGAGCATGAGAGATAGTAGTAAACGATTTCCATTGCTATCAGAGAGAGCCATAGGGCCTTATCTCTGATTCCTCAGCATGTTGACATTAGAAACTCCGACTGTCAGCTAAGCCAAACTGTTCATTCACCACTCTGATCTGATTTCATGGAGATAGGACGAAAACTTTTTGAAAAGATAAAGAAAATCTTAATGACTAGTTACATCCAAAGATAAACAAGAAGAGGCAATATATAAGCTTCAATATAATTATATGGTCTAGCGGGACTTTTATAATTTCAATTCTTGTTGACTTAAAGGATTTGGTCAAAATTTTTATGAGAACCTTAAATTGATCTATTGTTATGTTAAAGTTTGACTAATCAGATTTTAATGTTTCAATTGTGTGTGCACAGGATTGGAATTTGTCTTATTATAAAACTGTAATTACTAGTTTAGACTTGAAAGAGACATTCGACACAAAAAGTTGGAAGAATTCACACGTCTATTTCATACTCAATTTCACATAGTTTGTGAGAGAAAAGCATTGTATCTACTTGAGTGTGCTGGTACAATTGTAGGAAATAAATGGAGAGAATTTTTGTAAATAAGAGGAAATAAGACAATAGTGCTGACTTAACACTTACATGAGACATTTACTTATTTTTTTCTATTTGCTGGAATGCTTACTTGGCTTAAGTGGACATAAAACAATAAAACATTTGACAGCTTTTGAGGATTTTATAACCAATAAAAGGGTTATAAAACTTTTCAAAGAGCAAAAAGTGAAATTTAATCCAAAAATCTACCAACGAAAAAATTCTGCAAGATTACAAACGGTGTTTCATTTGCGATATTTTGTGCTGTGAGATCTGTTGTGACCAACATGTTGTCTGTTTATATAATACTGATTTTGTTTATTGTTTCTTCTGCAGGAACCAAGTACAAGTAAGTAGAACTTTAATTCATTATTAATTAGCAGTTTGATGATTGCTTAATTGCACATTTATTAGCTTTATATTTGCACCTACCTGTTTGTTAATGAAAGACAGATCCCATGATACTGTGAATACGTTCATGTTCATGGTAACCAATTATTGTTGACGAAGGAAAATTTGTATTTTTGAGGATATTTGATTTCATGTTTTTTTTTCAAATTCTGCAAACAAATCTATAAGAAATTTGAAATTGTTGAACACTTATATTTGTGGTTTACTTTTAAACTTAAAGTCAACTAATGTTAATACCATTCAAATAAAAATGAATTCACAGTATTTCTTTTTACTTGCTACATAATGTGATTTAGAAGAAAATATAGAAATATAGTATTTCAAGCCCTAAATCCCTTTCTTTTAAGATTTGTCACTATACTTTGCATTATTTATGGTTTGTAAATTAAACTGTTTGCTCTTTAAGTAGGTCCTGTTCTGTTACAGCAACATTGAAATTCATTTTCATATTATTTGTATAGAACTTAAATTGCATGAATTAATCAAACAAAATATCAGCATACACCTTTTAGTCACTTTTGAATTAAGAGTCCTAGTCTGCAGTTTTATTAAAAATGGGAACCCAAGATTCTTATTGATGTTTTTATTGTAATATCAAATGTTTTTTGCCATTTGGGGGCCCATAATTGGAAATAAAACCTCTTTCTTCTATTGAAATTCCACATTCAATAGACTTAGAAATATTTTCATAATGTTTAGTTTTGGAGACAATGTTAGTACCATCTTTTTGTCTCCTGTATGCCACATAAATTGTGTGACTTATCTCTTCACAGACTTGTTATATCATGTAAAATGTAAGAGATGCCACTTGGGTTGTATTATGTGACAAGCATTTTAAGTGCAGACTTCCTGCTCTGTGAAAGATAACTTCATTTAACTTTGAAATACTTTGAAATAGTAGCCATAAAATAAATTATTTGGTATATGCAATCTTTTTGTATCAAAATTACTTATCAGAAAATACTGATTACCCCGAAATACTGTCGAATTAACTGAGAGGAAGGAAAATGGTGGGAAAGTTTTAAGTTCACCATGGCTGAGTAACAAGCCTTGTTAAAACATTTGTAAATATTTATTTTTATGTGTTATTCTCATTATGTAAGTTTATTTAATCTGTCTGGAGGAAGTTTTTATGTTTAACATTGATCCCACTAAATCCTTGTAATAACAAATAGACACATTCAAACTTAAGGACTGATAGGAAATATTCAGAAAATTTGAGTGATGGAATGAACACAGACTTATCAAATACTTCAAGAAAAGGGGGAGAGTAACATGTTAAGTGCGTGTTTCAAGTCGGGAACATCCTCAGTGGTTGTCTTTTATTATATCATTATGGCCCTTGAAAGATATAATATTGATGGCAGGTCTGTGGTAGTCTCTATATTAACTTCTTGTCACAAACTTTGGTGACTTATAGCTTTGTATCTGGTACAGATTCTCATCTATTATTGAAGACCATAGATATTTTTCATGCCCCCGCCGTAGTGGAGGGGGTATTAAGTTTTACCCTTCTCTGTCCGTACGTAGGTCCAAAATTTGGTTTCCATTCTCTAACTTAAGTTTGCCTCAACCAAATGTTATGAAACTTATACAAAACATGAAAATGCTTATTACCACAAAACACAGATCAAGTTTGAATTTTGGTGGCGTCACATTAACCATTTTAGAGTTATGCCCCTTTACAAATGGAAAAATTGCTGAATTTTTCGTTTCCGTTCTCTAACTTTAGATTGCCTCAATCAAATGTTATGAAACTTATACACAATGCTTATTACCACAAAATACAGATCAAGTTTGAATTTGAGTGGCGTCACTTTAACCGTTCTAGAGTTATGCCCTTTATAAATGGAAAAATTGCTGAATTTTTCGTTTCCGTTCTCTAACTTTAGATTGCCTCAACCAAATGTTATGAAACTTATACACAATGCTTATAACCACAAAATACAGATCAAATTTGAATTTTGGTGGTGTCACTTTTACCGTTCTTCAGTTATGTCCCTTTATAACTTTATATGGTATGCAAGCGGGGGCATCATCTATGTCCCATGGACACATTCCCCATTTATTTTTAATTTTTTAATTTATTTTATTGGGTTAATTGTTTCTATTATTCATATCCATCACAAATGTATTTTACTTATATTAAACACAAAATATGAGTAAGTGTGACTGGAACAAAACTGATTTGGTTTATGTGAAATATTGGCAGACTTTAGTTCAACAGTTTACATGCATTATTTCTCATGTAATTTAAGGATTAGTTATTCATATTTAATAAAGATTATATTGGTAATAAAATATTAACTTTTATGTTTCAAACATATAGGATTAATCACTATGTTGATTTGGTTGAGAGTAAAATATTTTTGGACTAAGGAGTTAAGTAGCCTCTTGAGGTATAAAAGAAATGCTTGTAAATTGACAGTCATATAAAACATGTGTCAGTAATTATAAGAAATCAACAAAACACAAACATTGTGATTTATTGGAAAATAATAGGGGTACTACACATGATTCTGATCAAGACAATTTGTCTTCATTTAGATTGTTTTTTATCAGTACAGAACATGTCACTTTCGTACATGTAATAATTAATTCCAAACATGAATAATGTTATTTGCCTTTAAAACAAGGGCTTATTGAAATTATACTTAATTTGCAACCATTTGTCTCCATTATTTACGGTCATTTTGTACTTACTTACACATGTAAAACACATGTAAAATTATATCATGACACATAAAATTTATTGCTCTCTCCACCTGTTTGTTTTTTCAAGGATTATATAAAGTTAAATGGTTTTATATAAAACAGGTGTAAATAACATTTATTTTGAGAATTTTTGTAATTTCATTAAATTGAGTAATAAAAATGATTTACTTACATTTATGTTCAATAGAGATGAGTATTTATAAGTACATCTATTTATGAGACCCCAAAAAAGAGACAATAGACAAAATTTTGTTAGCACAAATGCAATTATAACAATCGGTAAAGGCTCAATTAAGTACATTGCATAGAAATACATAAAATACAAAAATACAAACCTACAACAACTAAATAATCAATACTTTCTGAAGAGGATATTGATATTTAGTATTATTAATGTTTTTGTAAAACATTATTTCTAACTTTCAACAATTCAGAAATGTAATTTGAACATATCTTTGATATATTTACAAGTTATTTTAAGAGTTATTTCCCTTTAACATTAATGAGTTATTTTATAAGATATTTCCCTTTAGGAAGATAAGATTGTGGAACAGAAAGTTTTGAATAAAGGGAGTGATATAACATTCTGCTTAGCGCAGCTTCTTCCTGCATTTGATTATAATAAAATAGAATATTAGGTTGAAATGGCAAATCTTTTAGCATTCTCAGAAAATTTATATGCTATTATGTCAAACAGATATGTAGAAATATTGTTTAGTTAATTCCTGAAACACTTCATTTAAGGCAGACACATTTCATGGTGCTTAGAATGACAAACTTTTTGTTGTTTATTAATTTTGAATTGAAGCCAAGTTCTAGAACAACATAAATGAATAGGATTGAAATAATAATGGAACTCATCCATGACTCAAGGTGACAGGATTGACAATGATGTTTTACAGTTCCTTAACACCCCAAAATTTGAAATCTACATGACAATAAATGTAGACAATTTTATAAAAGACCTAAATTCCCTGCATTAACATTATACTATATAAGTTTGAAAATTAAAAATGGTAAATATTTGATTTGTAACAACAGGTTAACAATGGTTAAGAAACCAAAAAAAAACTAAATATTTTTCTCAGACATATTACTTCTAAAAATGTAGGATCTTGGAATGTAATACTGATTATCTCTGAAAAACACATGTCCAGTGAAATGCAGTTTTATTAGAATTGACAGAGTTATGGGACCTCAAATAATTAATTGTGACATAATATGAACTCTTGAAATGAACTTCCTGTTCATGACAATAGAAAGAAATTCCAAAGAAGATTATGGAATTTACAATGAAGACATCAAGTTGTCATCTTGTTTTCTTTTGTTTGATAAATAGAAGGAAAATAACTTGTCATATGTGAACCTGCAAACATTTATGTCTAACAATGTGTACCATCTTGCAGATTGTCTCTTTATTATGTGATGATGTAATATTTCAATTTTTTCTGCCACAAATTATCACTTCTTCATATTTTCAAGGATGATGGAATAAAAACCTGGGCATACTAGAAAATTTGGGATAGTGATGGGTTAAATGGGATGGAGTTCCAATTGAAGAGTTGACTTTATAATGTAACCATAGATGTATAAACCCATAAAATATAGGTATAAAATATAGGTATAGGTATATATCTATGATGTAACACTGTGAAGATTTAATATCTCAGTATCAAAGAGATGGGTTTAAATGGGATGGAGTTCCAATTGAACAGATACCTTTATAATGTAACACTGTGAAGATTAATATCTCAATATCATATGGTCATTTTTTGGAAAATACATAGCAAAGATTCCAAAAAGGCCCATTTGGAACCAATTAGAATATTTATAACCAAGAAACCAAATAATGGTTTTGTCTCACTTCAAAGAAGTCCTGCAGGAAAGACTTAGGCATTTTGTTTTCTACAGCAGTGTCATCTGCATCATCAATAATAATGTTTGTGATTAGGTCAGTTTTACCATAGATGTATAAACCCATCTGATGGGTTTATACATCTATGGTTTTACTTTAAGGAGAACCACTAATGGTGGGGCAATGCTATTTTGTATGCAGTTGTTTAATCATTAGCACATTTTATTTCCCTGGAGATTATTTGGTCTCGCCCCCTCAGTCATGGTTCAATGACTTTGGAACTTTTGCTTATTAGTTTGTGATTAGGTCAGTTTAATTGTTACCACTTATGATAAGTCAATGATGGCCAATGATATCAACCAAGTATTTCTATTTGCATTCGCATATCTCGTTTTCGTTGAGATTATTTAATAAATGTAAACAAGTCATATAGAATAGCAATTAGCTTTTAAGTTCCCCTATGCTTTTTTCAGACCAATTGGGCAGTGTGTACCTTACAATGGAAGTTTTTGCAGTGCAGAAATAGATTCTGGTCAAATCCACAAGATTGTCAATGTATCATTTGAGAAGTTGGACAGAGATGTTATAGACATGCTTCATGATATCAAGAAAAACTTAAACCCCTTGAGTGACAGATGTCTGTCTAATGCAAAGAAAGTCTTCTGTAACCATGTATACCCAAGCTGTCATCATGAAAATGGAGAGGCCAAGCCAATACATATGTGCAGGTAAATATTGGATATGATTTTAGCATGCGATACCAATACATATATGTAAGCAAATAGATGCAAGGTATGTCCTGTTACTGTTTTTACTAAAAATGATCAACTTGTAATCGGAAGCCAGAATACAGTTAAGTTTATGAATAAAAATAATAAGTATTTGCTATTTACAGCTAAAATTGTATAAGAAAGTCAAGAATAAGTGTAGAAATGATAAATTGAATTCATGAGTTTTTGTCCCTATGTATATCTATGTTAATTAAAAAATTCTTATCTATACTATGATCTGTTCAAACCAAATAATAATTTTAAAGTAATTGAATATCAAGACTCATCAGACTGAATTTAAGGTGCGTTAGACTCCTATGGAAAGCATTAAGTAAGATAGTATCAAAAGATAGTATATTAATCTTCTATTATCAGATTTAATTGAGGTCTGAAAGCGATATATTACCCATATTTATATTTATAATATATCCTGTCATACAGATAAAAATTCATAAATTAATATAAACTATGTATGGGTGACACATGAATAATGTTATCCCCCATTATAAATTAGATGACAAACATGATTATAGAGATAATACAAGAAACCCACGGCCCACTCTAACAATGGAACAAAAGAGAAAAAATTCCAATAACAAGAAAATAAAAATAATATAAAGCATATTATACTTATAACATTGGGATTAGAATTACAATATCTGTTTTAAAGCGATTAAGATAATCGTGTTTTCATCACCTCTGTGATATAAAATCTCTCCATGGTATAAAGTGGTATTGTTCGTGTATACCTGACATGTACACAAATTAAACTTACTTTTCTGCTGCACTGCATTCTCACAAAGACGACACATTGATTGATGGCTGCATATATGAAGGTTAAAAAGTTTAATTATGTAGTACTTAAAAATTTGTTTACATAATTTGTAGAATGTTTTTACATGATTGACTGTAATTATTTGGTGTAGGCTGATTGACTTTATTTGATCATTGAACAGGAAAGCTGTTAATGTATTGTAAAATAGAATAAAAGGGTTTCAATGCTGTTTCAGTTAGTAATTTTTGATTTTGTTTAACCTCCACATCTGAAGGTAATAATTAATATGATCATAAACATGCATGAACTGAACTCTGTTTCAACTAAAGAAAACATAAAAATTTTAATCTTAAAGATTGAAAATATGTTTTTTTAACATTATTATTTATAAATATTTTTATTCATTAGGGACCCCTACTGGTTAAAAATAAGGTTTTAATGCTTAGTTCAATATTGCACCTGCAATCATAAGATTTCATAGAGATAAAATGTTCTCAAATTAGCAACTTTTCATGTCAGAGTTTAAAATAAGGCAAGAGTATAAAGGTGGAATAACTATTTATCTATAAACTTTAAATGTTTCTATCAATAAGATAAAATGGTATTTACATGTAAAGATAATTCTTGTCTTGTTTCCAGAATCATGTACACCACCATTCCTTTTATAAATACAACTTTCATACAAAAGCTTTTTCTAATGATAAAGAATCTTTGGTAACTTGTGGTTTTAGAATGTAAGGACTTAGATATGTGTTGCACCTGGAAGATCTTTTTTTTTATCTGAGGCACACTCCCTATATATTTAAAGAAGCAAAGAACTCACTATTCAAGAAAGCTAGTGATTTTTGTTTCAGTGCAGATAGGCCTTGTCCTGAATTTTTTATGGGATGTTAAGCAATTAATCAATTCTGACAAGCAAGCAATGCAAGTACACCAAATCTCTGATTATTCTAAAGGCAAAATGAAATAGTAGTCACTAACAAGGTTCCCCTTTTTGAGAAGCACAGTCACTTTTAAACTAGAATTTTGTCAGTAACTGAACATTCCATGTTTAATCTTGTAAGTATTTGTATTTGTCATGTGATAGGTACCACATGAGGAGCAGGATCTGCTTTTGCTTTCTATTTAGTGTTTTGAAGACTGTTGTTTGTCTTTTTGTTGTTTTCTTTTTCGTTTTTTGTCATGGTATTGTCTGTTTTCTTTGACTATTCCTTTGGTATCTTCTGTCTCTCTTATAGTGGAAAAACAAATAAAACGAACCCAAAAATTAGTCCAGAAAAAGCTTTTGATGCAGTAATTAAATACTAGTGTTAATACTCTTAAAAAAGTTGTGAATATAAAATATTGTAAAGCAAGATAACCAAGCAACTGTTTAAAAAATTATTTTCTCACTTGGTAAATGAGAAGAATAAGAGGTTGTGGACAAATTTAAATCTGGGTGTCTCCTTATTTGATGTAGAGTAATAAGTTTGATTTCCTTGTAAATTAGAAAAGGCCATTGCAATCAACACTATCACATAGAAAAACCAAATGACCCATAAATCTGTTTTCTGTTATAAACCTAATAATAAGTTTAACAAGTTGATTTCTCTAATTTCATGAGAAAAAAGTAAGATATGTTGAGTGCATAACTAAAGCAGTATGTAACTGTGGTTTTATAGCACCTGTTTTATACGACCTGTTAGATTGCATACAAAACTAGATTGTTCCTCTCAGTGTATATTTTTTGTATAGAATGAAATGATATGCAAATATGAAATGAATTAGGGATAATTGATCAACTGATAATGTATTTACTTTTACAACTGTATTTATCAAGGCATCCTTAATGGACCTCTTGGAGAAACACATAATAATCTAGTTAGGACACAGATATATATCAACATATTGAATAGAAGCAATTTCAGATGTAATGAAAATTCTCCATTACAAAGTATCCAGGCAGATTTATTCCTCATTGTAGCAGGCAAAAATAACATTTGATTTTTTTATTTGATATATGTAAGGAAGATTTGTTTTCATGGAAAGTGCATTTTCAATGATTTATGCATACAGGAAATTTTTAAGCACACATCAAAGAATTATATAAATTATGTCATCTTTATTATTGTAATAAATAATAAAACTTTATTCAGTGAATTACCAATAAATCATCTAACTGGCATTGTTTTTTGTACCAAATGTATATTTACATGTTAAATGATAAGATGGTAAATGTTTTTGTACTTTAACCACTACATATCAGGATGTTTAAAGTAAAAAATAGTTCTATCATCCCTGTGTTCTATTAAAGGTAAAAAGCAACAGTAACCATAAATCAGTTTTACATTTTATCATCAGACAGAGGAACTGATATCAGATTGTTTTGAAGAAAAGAAAATTATGTAAAATGTCTAAATTTTGACAGTTGATTGAGAAATTCATAGTGTTACATCCATCCAATGGTTGGTATCTGAATTTGAGAAATCTCAAAATGTTTCATTATTCCAATTTCAACTGTACTTGAGAACTTTAATTCTTTGATCAGTCTAAGTTTGACACTAAAGGACAAGGAAATATAATGCCATATTTTTTTGTTTCCTTGAATTCAAAGATCAAATAATATTATAAATGAATCTGTCAAATAGTATTCCTCAGATGTTCAAAAGACATTTGCCTGTCAGATATCAGTATTTTTTATTCTTGAAAGTTGTCTTGCATATGTGCTTTGGCCTTCAAACTTCTTGTATTTAATAAGAAAAAAACTGTATTAACTGTTTGATTCAATCTTTATTTTGAATTAATTATACCAAAAAGTGCAAGCAACTTTTTACTCCTTTAAAGCATGATGGAAAACAACTTTTGATCACAGATTTTTACAAATGTAGATCTGAAATAATTTTCTTCTGGCCTTGTGATGAATTTGAATAAAAGATTTTTCATTCATATAAGTACAAGATATAGCAAGACCACACACAGCAAACTTGGCCTCATTCATCTTTGAAAAGGACCAAAAATGATGTAATTATATCCAATATAAATAGTACAAGTGCTTTCTAAATAGGTCCATTCTTCTGGTATACAAGGCTTGAGTAGAAGGCTATGTTCAACACAATACACTGACATACTGAAACATAATCCTAATACATAATATTTAAAGTACATCAAACATAAGAGTTTTCCACAGTTCTCTATTTCAATATTAATTCAAAGGTTGTTAATAGGAGCTTTTTCACCCAATAGAGATTTTTATGACTATTTACACTATGATGCCATTATCCTGTATATTTATCATGCTTTTGCTGAAATACTCCATCCTAAATTTTTTAAGTCGATCATTTTTCTGTATTCATGATATCATGGAATAATTTATCCGAATAACAACTTTCTAGTGTGTATACATGTATTACAAATTTTAATAAAGAACTGACAAGTTTTTTCACCATCTTATATATCTTTGCAGACAAAGTTGTTTAGCAGTGAAGGAACTCCTTTGTTTTGATGCATGGCTGATGGTTGTCCATTCTATGGATGGATATAAATTACCAATATGTGAAACACTTCCAGATAAACTAGATCCTACCATGAAGTGTGTAGATATCCCTATGTTTGTAAGGAAACCTGAAGAAACCAAAAGTATGTTAATGTTGATAATTGTCTCAAAATCACACAAAAGGGGGAGTGTGCAATTTGGAGATGAAGAACTGCAATAAAAATACATATTTAAAATTCTGTAGAAAGGATTTAATATAAATATATTTTTGTGAATCAAAAACCACTTTTTGAAAGATTATTGATTGATAGAAATTAGAATAGAGTATTTGTAAAATTTGATGAGCCGTAAATGAGTGTAAGATTTCAACTCATGTAGACTTCCAGTGATACCTGAGGTTATTTACAGATTGATCTTAGGATACACAGCAGTGTATAATGAATTTCCTTTTTCCTGCACTGCCTACATATAGCTATCAAAACTGGAAACCAAGATTAATTGATTATTGGGGCTCAATTTCCTGTGGCAAATATTTCATGCATATTGAAGATGATAGTGCCCAAAAGAAGTAAATTCTGAAAAAGTTTGAATGATGAGTGTTAACATAGTGTTTTTGTATTTGTTAGATTCCTGCTACAAAGGAACAGGACAGTGGTATAATGGTACAGTGAACTCTACTAAATCAGGAATAGCTTGCCAGGCTTGGGAATCACAGAATCCACATAATCATCAGAGACCACCAGATGTCTTCCCCAGTCTCGAGGGAGCAGAAAATTATTGTAGAAATCCTGGATCTGAGGAGGATTCTCCTTGGTGTTATACACAAGATAGAATCATAAGATGGGAGAGATGTGATGTTCCTAAATGTGGTAGGTTCTTATCTACACAACTTTTTTGTCACATATTGTTGCAGGTTTCTCCGCATCAGTATACTTTGACAGTGATCTAAATGGAGATGTTATTCAAATATCCATTTGGAATATCTGATATAAAATTAATTAAAAAAGATATGGGGTATATGATAGTGAGACTGTATTTCAACATTGAAAAGACCATATAAAAATAAGATGATGTGGTAGGATTGCCAATGAGACAACTCTCCATAGACCAAATGATGTAAAAGGTTAGCAATGATATGTCCATAGCAACTATATTATCACTCTAATTGTCAATATATAGTCTTATCAATTGGGGAGGTTTGTGTTCATATTAAACTGGTTTAATCCCCCCCCCCCCCCCCACACACACACACACACACACATTGTGTCCTGTACTTAGTCAGGCTATCATTGTTTGTACATCTATTTCTTTCGGGGGAGTGTTTATGGTTGGTGGGGTCTGTTATACTGTCCAATATTTTTGTAATCTCTGTTATCCTTTTTATGGATAAATGAATTTTTAAAGACAAAATTACTACATTTCTTGTCCGTGAGTCTTAGTAGAGAAGTTGGATTCAATCTAAATGTGGCTATCAAAGATATTTAAAGATTTAAGAGAACTGTTTTCAAGATTAAGTTCTCTGCAGTGGGTGAAAAATGTTCAGATTTTCCCCCACTGTATATTCATTGCAAAATTTGCAATGGTCTTAAAATCCACAGCTGAATAATATTGTTTGTTTGTCAATGTTGATAAATCACCACTTTCTTACTTACACCAAGATGTCGTTCAATGAAATTGGATACCCTGCATTTATCATGCTTTTCAATAACATTTGATCAAATCGCTGAAAGACTCCCCTCCTAAATCATTGAAAACTATCATTCTGCATTAATAATAATATCTTCTTGTAAATTATATACACCCATTCAGGCTAACGCCCTCAATGTGTATCTTATACTTGTGGGGGTTAAAGGAAGAATTGGATAAAGTACTGAGAAAATCTTAGACAGGTGCAACAAATCTAAAAGACAACCTTCAGTCAAATACATAAAGTAAAAAAAATACAAAAATATTACATTGATAAACTGAATGGCAGGAACTAGTAAATCCCAGTAACTATTAAATTTATGATGTGAAATGGAAGATTAGGAAGAATTAACATAGTATATTACTATTTTATATGATAAAAACAACATAAAATTCAGATTATAATCAGACTGTGTTTATGTATTTTACAGATAGTCTTTATGTTGTAGACCTGTTTTATTTATTTTCAAAGTTTTCCACTAATGATAAGACAAATTTATGTCCTAATAATAGCTTTTACGAGTTTTACAGCTCTTTTAAAATCACTGTTGGGGAAAGCTTCATTAAATTCTATATTATTTTTTACATTACCAACCACCTAGTATACTTTATCTATAGATTTAATCTTTTGATTATATATATTTGTATCCATATGATCGATGTTATTTTGTTTTACTTCTGACTGTCATTGGCATCAAATGGACAGTTGGTCTACCAGATGCCCATGGAATTTTAGGAATTCAAAATTTTATAAAAGATAAAGATAAGACATGTAGATTTTTCTTTCAATTTCTATGGTCCCCCGTTGTCACTATGTAGGCTGGGTACACATTTTTTCTCTTTTCAAGCTAATTTCGGTCATTTCAAAATACAGATATTTTACAGACATTCATCTGATTTTCGGTGTGTTTTTTGTATATTGTTTAGTTTGTATTTGCATTCCTTGGGCATTTGAAATTAAAAATAAATTATTGGTGTGTGCATAGTTTGTGATGCCTTCACAATAATACAAAGTTTGTGATAGGTGTTTATAGATGTGGTTCACATTAAGATCAGGTTGACCTACTTTTCATAGATTTATAAACCCTTTAAATTAAAAAAAAAAAAAAAACAGATCGCTATTATTTAATTAGGCATTCTCAGTCCAGCCACATTTGGTTTTTGTCTATCCTGAGACTTCAGCTGCGACAAAAGTTGTAGAATGCAAAACTAAGGATGCTCATTAATTTGTCTAGGTTTTGAAAAAATGTACACAAATTCATACTAAAATGTAGAGCAATACCCTACATTTATATTATAAATGTTATGAATAAAAGAAGATTTATGGTATTATGTCCATGAGACAGCAACTGAATGAAACAAAATATAAAAAGATCAACATACTATTTTCACAAACAAAAATGTCTATACAATATGTCAAGTATATGTCAAACTCTAAATAACCCTTAGTGTAGAGAAGTTGTCAATAACACATATGAACACCAAATTACCCACACATATGAACACCAAATTACCCAAAGACAAAAAAGCTTTTAAGACATAACAAAAATATGTTCCACTGACAACCTTTCTAATTTGAGAAATTCGTATGATAAAATGGAGGAAAAAGACTTAAAAAAAAATTATTGAAAAATATCTGAATAAATAATTTATTGCTTACCGGTATATTACTGTTTTACAGATGGAGAAATCCGAATACCCACAGGACGAGTGGAAGAAGAAAAACCAACTATGACAACAGAAGCCATTGCTATTGTTTCTACCGTAACAGCAGTTGGAATATTTGTTGTTGCTCTCATTTGCATATTATGCTACCAAATCTTTAGACAGAGACATAGTATAAAATACAATTCAACACCACAAGATGACCTTGACATTGATGTGGACAAACTTCAGCCAAATATTTCTTATCACAAGATGGCTGATATTAAACTTAACCCCAAGTTACAAACCTTGGAATATCCTAGAAATGATGTTGTATACTTATGTGACATAGGTCAAGGTGCTTTTGGACGTGTGTTCAAAGCTAAGGCCAAGAACCTAGTTGAAGATTCAGAGGATTGTTTTGTTGCTGTAAAAATGTTGAAAGATGATGCTAGTGAAGATCTCCAACAAGATTTTGAAAGAGAGGCTTCATTGATGGCTGAATTCGATCATCGAAACATTGTTAAATTATTGGGCATTTGTGCAATAGGCAAGCCTATGTGTTTATTATTTGAATTTATGGAAAACGGTGATTTGAATGGATTTTTGAGACTTTGTAGTTCAGAAAGTAATTACATAATTAGACGTAATAGTGTGGATAAAAAATCCTCAGAACTATTCCACCATGTGGGAACTAATCAACAAATGAATATCATCATGCAGATATGTACTGGGATGGTATACTTATCAGATAATGGTTATGTTCATCGAGACTTAGCCACCCGTAACTGTTTAGTTGGTGAAAATTTGATTGTTAAAATATCAGACTTCGGTTTAGCTAGAAGTGTTCATAGTATGGAATATTATAAGGGCAGCGATCATGACGCTATTCCTATTCGCTGGATGCCCTTAGAATCAATACTTTATAACAAATTCACATCAGAATCTGATGTCTGGTCATTTGGTATTGTATTATGGGAAGTGTTTTCTTACGCTCTACAACCATATTATGGTATGTCTCACGAAGAAGTTGTTCAGTTTATAAAGGACGGCAAAGTCCTGGCATGTCCGGATAAAACTCCTAAAGCTTTGTACGAGTTAATGCGATTGTGTTGGAGTAAGAAACCGACCAACCGTCCACGATTTATTCATCTTTGCAAGTCACTTCATGCCATTAATGAAGAAATTCAGAAAAAAAGTAACATAAGTGAAGTTGTATGATACATTGTCTCAGATTCTTACTCTTTGCTCAAATCCAGTCATTTGTTTGTTTGTTGTTTTGTTATTGTTTTATTTGCTTAATTGTTAGATTTATGTATATTGTTGAACAAAATTTAAACTTGTATATCAACTGAACCATTTTTTTATAAGGGATGGTAAGCAGGATTTCTTTTTATTCTGAATTTTTTGGCCCTAAGTAGAATTATTTTACACTGAAAAGTTCTGTTTTATTGTATTTGAAAAAAACCCGGTATTGGTATATGAAATTGTTGACATTGCCGTAATCCAAAAGCATGTACATAAACAATTAGTGCTGTACGTTTTTTAAAGTTTTACGTTAGTGATCAGATCAGAAACATTCTCACCAACAGTTTAATCTAGGAGACACCTAATAACAACCTTTCATCACAATAAAGTTCACAAACAATTTGAAGAAAAAAGATTGTTTAGGATTACATCTTCGGTGGTCTACCCAGATAATCAGAGATTTTCTATATTTTGTAAAAATAACAAAACTTGTTTAGACAATTTGTTTCCAAAATATTTATTGGACTTGAGTTACTTCTTTAGTAGATGTTGACACATGTTAATAATATTTACTAAAGTTTCACCAAGATAGATCATTAGATACTGGTCTGTAAGCCATTTTACATGTATACAAAATTTTATATCACACTATCTTAAATAAGTTATGTTTAACATCTAGGGTAAAAAGTCTTACAAAGAACACATATTGGTTAGCATCATAGCAGAATCTTTTTGCTAAGGGCCTTGTAGTGAAACTTGAATATTTGGCAGTTAAACCATACAAAAAACATGGATACATGAACAGTAATTCTTCAAAACAGTAATATTATCTCAGTTGTGATGACAAGAAATTTTAAAAACTTAAAGATTCTTTTGGAATAGTCATGCATGAACATTTACAGAAAGTGATAGTTGTGGTTTGTTTCTGTTTTCAAGTATTTAGACTTGGTTACTCCAGAAAGAGAATTTTCATTTTTCTTCGTAAGTTGAATACATCTGTAAAAAAACCAATGTTTTCGTTACATTAAATATGTAATTGATGTCATTATATTTGATTTAAAAGAATATTATACATTGCTGTTGACAATTTTAGTAGGGTTCATAAAAGATTTGAGGACTAAGTATATGTATCATATCATTGAGACATCCATCATAGTGTTTTAAAGGCAGCTTACACACATCATTAATTTAATACTTAACTTATTATGTAATATTAAGTATAGTGGTTAGTATTTAAGTATGTTTTATATGTTTTCCTATATGTCCTAACTTTAGTTCTCTTGTAAGTTGGGGAGAAATGTCTAACCTAGTTTTCTTCCCACAACCTTTTCAATTCTAGTTTTTATAAAAATCCTACTTTTATCTCACAAACTTAAATTTTCTGGCAATCTGCTCCTTAAAAATTTTGATGTAAATAAATTTAGTGGTTCTGTTTTCTGCTACTTGAAAACAGGGTGTAATGCATGTAGAAATTTAAAAACCAACATGTTTTAAGGCCAAAACATTAGAGCTGGACACAGAGTTTGTCAAATTATCCTGTAGATGAATTGTCAATCATCACAAGTGTACAAATATATGCATGCAAGACAATATCAGTTTGATAGCAATCTTTAGCTGTACAAAGGTTATAAATGAAATATCCTCCTATTGAGTAAGTTTTTGATGTGATTGAAGTAGTTTGAACTGTTGTACCATGCTGATGTGAAGTTATATTTTATGAATGGATTGACTTTGTAATGTTTTAAACAAGTGATAAGATTAATTTAAGAGGACTGTCATGCTATGAACAAAATGAAAAAAGTCTTTATTTATCTGATTTTCATCATCAGCAGGATTCCCAAATCATTTTAATCATCAAACGATGTGATATTTTTTATCTATTTGATAGTTACTTGAGTAACACATGAAGAGCAAGGGAGGCAGAGGTACTTAAATATGAAGTGTTTCTTGGTAGGTTCCAGGGAAATCTGATAGGTATGAAGGTTAGAAATCTATACCGTTGTGTATACAATGCCTCTTGTTTGATACTCTTCACTTTAATAGATCCTTGTGTACAGGATATTAAATTTTTAAAAGGGTCTTTTTCTAATTTAAAGAAATGATAATACATGTACCACAAATCAAAAGAATCATTGACCCTGTTAGGTCATTTTAGAGCTTTCTGTACTGTTTGGTTTAAGTGTCATAATGGAGGTTTGGGTCTGCAGCCTTCAAAACCTAGGTTTCAGTTGTAACCATTGATTAGTTATCTGTAAATTTAAGATCTTTTCCAGATCTCTCTGACACAGAACTTTATCCAGTAAGTCTATGAGAATGTTTGGATTTCAATCTATAATCACTGATAGTTCAGACAGAATCTGATCATTCCAATTAATCATACCCACTCCATACTGGTACACTCAATGATTTTACAGACTTTCAAAACATTCTATAAAAACAAAAATATTTACAATACATAACAATGTTGTTTTTAGCAGGGAAAAATAGTTTTGGTTTTGTCAGGCATGTAAATTCTCACATCTGGTAGAACATGGGGGTACGGCTGATGGAGTGATATACATCTGTGACATCAATTGGGTGACTTATCTATCATCTACAGATGTATTTTGTACCTGGAAATGTGGCTTATCTTTGATTGCAATAGGTACTTCTTTGAAGAATATCATTGGATATAGTTAAGGTCTTTATCTGGTTTATCAAACCCCAGCTGTAGCTTTAAAAGCAAACAGGGGGTACATTGTTAGATCAGGCTTTTCTGAAATCAGCTCAGCAAAAATATCTATACAACATTGTTATGAATAGTAACAGTACTAAGAATGGACAGCATTTATCACATTCTGACAACTTAATTTGGAAAATATGCAAAGATCCACCATTACATAGACAGACATCATCGGTCCTATTATAAATAAACAGCTTTGAATCATACCATAGACATTTCTAGCTTTCATACATCTAATCAGATATCCCTTTGTCAAGTTGAATGTCAAAAGAAATGATTTATCAGTTAATATATACTTAGTGATTAATTTTCTATACAAGAAGTGCCAAATTTTAAAAGTAGTAAAGATTCAGTTTTTTGTTTATGAACTTTCTAAAAAGTCAAATTTTGTGTCTTTTATGTGACAAATTAAAATATTTGTGAATTCAGTGCACTCTATAGTTGTTATCTTAATTCTGCAAATTAGATGTTTCTCAAATTATCAGCTGCAGTCATCTTGGCAGTTTCTTATGTTTTGCTTTAATTTTGCACTTTAGCATCAGGAACCAGATACCTTGTAAGTTAAAATTTCATCCCTTTGGGATTAGCTGGAAGTGGCTATGGAGTCTAAAACTAATACTAAAAGCTGTTTTCATAATCTTTTCAATTTTTTTGTGAAAAAAACGAGGTTTTGTAAATTTTGTAATCTTTGTACATAATGAAATTGTCTGCCATGCAGAAAATCAGATAAACTTTTTTTAAGACTGACAAAAATTAATTAAAGAACTGGTAAGGCCAAGCAAAAAGTCTCAAACATTTTATTGTGTATTCAAATTAGATTCATTTTTGTCGAGCCTTCGACTTTAGTCGAAAAAGCGAGACATAGCGATCCTACATTCCGTCGGCGTCGTCGTTGTCGTCGGCGGTGTCCACAAATATTCACTCTGTGGTTAAAGTTTTTGAAATTTTAATAACTTTCTTAAACTATCCTGGATTTCTACCAAACTTGGACAGAAGCTTGTTTATGATCATAAGATAGTATCCAGAAGTAAATTTTGTAAAAATAAAATTCCATTTTTTCCATATTTTACTTATAAATGGACTTAGTTTTTCTGCCGGGAAATATTACATTCACTCTGTGGTTAAAGTTTTTAAAATTTTAATAACTTTCTTAAACTGTCCTGGGTTTGTACCAAACTTGGACAGAAGCTTGTTTATGATCATAAGATAGTATCTAGAAGTAAATTTTGTAAAAAAATAAATCCATTTTTTCCTTATTGTACTTTTAAATGGACTTAGATTTTCTGCCAGGAAACAACACATTCACTCTGTGGTTAAAGTTTTTAAAATTTTAATAACGTTCTAATACTTTTTTGGATTTCTACCAAACTTAGACAGAAGCTTGTTTATGATCAAATGCTAGTATCTAGAAGGAAATTTTGTTTTCTTCCAGTTAACATTACATTCAGTCTGCAGTTAAAGTTTTTAAACATTTATTAGATTCATAAACTATCCTGGATTTGGACTTGGACAGAAGCTTCTTACAATCAAAAGATAGTATCAAGAGGAATATTTTTATTGATTTACTTCCTCATTTTTGTTTAGCCTGTGATTAACAGAAAAAGTAGGCGAGACACTGGGTTCCGCGGAACCCTTACGAATTTTATGGATAGTATGCCTCCTTTAAAGAAAAGCTATTGTGTTTGGTTATTTAGAATAGAATATCACAGTTTGTATTTAGCTGAAAGCTAGGACTGTCATCATAGTTGTTTTTTTTTTGTTTAAATTATGCTATGTGTATAAGTGCTATATGAGCTTGTTGTATATTTTTTCTCATTTTGAAACCCAGTGAACAAATCATTTTGTATGTTTGTTTTTGCATGCCAAAAGTTTGTTATTTTTGTTGTTGAAAGACATGAGATTTATTTATTCTTTCCATTTATATACCAGAAAAATTAGTTTTTTGTATATGCAGGAAAATTTGTGGTTGTATAATGATAAAGGTTCATATTGTGAGAAGCAAAATTAATAATTGTATAGGTTGATAGTTCGTGCATTTCTTTGTTTTATACTGTTAAATACTTTTCATCATTAAACCTACCCTTTTAAAGCTAAAATGCATCAGTGATTTAAATTTTGAAAAAAAATTGTCACATACGTTTACAAAGTTAATAAATCATGTCAAAATTACTGTTTGAAAGGGAGAAAGTTCAAAAATATTGAGTTGGTTTTTGGGTATATCATTGATTGATGGATTGCTCATAAAATAACTAATGACCTGTATAAATTAAGATCTAGGAATCCATTAGGAGTAACATTCAGTAGGAAATGTTACATACAATCAAGGGAAAATTCTCTAATTTGAGCCTTTCCGTAGGCAGCTGCCGTATAATGCTGCACTAGGCACAGCATGTTCATTGTTTGTAACTTGTTTTGATTTTCAGTTTGTTATTTTATATGTTCAGAATGGTGCTTATTTGTACAAGGACAGTATTGATCTCACAATATGATTATATCTTTTTGAACAATTTAATCTAAAGTATTCTTGAAATTGAATACTTGAAAACCACATTAAAAAAAATTAACACGTTTAAAATTTAAATTGAAATTGAATAAAGAACAATGATATTATGAGAATCAAATTTCATTTTGTATGAAGTAAGTAATAATTTTACATGTTTTTTTCTTTTGATCTTTGGTAATCAGACATGGAATCTTTGGATATGATTTACCAACTGATTGCAATGAGTGTGCAGTTTTTTTTCTTAACTGATTGGTAAGATTTGTACTGCCCTTGTAAAATGTTGTAATAATTGTTGATCATGTTTCATTAAAAAACTGGCTGTAAACAGTCATCATAAAAGTGCTAAAATAAAATAAAATTTAAATTGAATACCTGTTTTGTTTTGATTCTTATGGGAATGTATGAGAGGTATAATTTGAAAAAAATTAATCATGCACTGCTTGTTGTGGCAAGGAGTTTACTATTGTGCTATCAAATATTCATCAGCATCAGATGCCAGCAATTGATAGTTGCATTTGAATGGGAAAGATTGAATAAATAAGACTTGTCAGTAAAATATAGTGGGTTATTGCAAGTCAGTAAAATATTAGTGGGTTATCGCACTATGTATAATACCCAATACTACAAAGTAGCAGTGGTATATAAGATCATACAGTTCTTAACCCATCTGTCAAACAGTCTGTCAATCTGCTTGGTTCCAGATGCTGAATCAACTACTTTATATCAGATTCCAACCCTTCTTGTGTATATGGTCACATATTATTAGAGGATGATCCCTATTGATTTTGAGGATACTAGTCTGTCAAGGTCATGGTTGCTAAAAATAGTCTAAAATTTGTGCAGGGAAGTGGTTTGTTGATGTTAAATTTAATATATATAGACAATAGACAATAGACAATATTTATTAGCACAAACACATTTACATTAAATGGTTATGGCATACAGTATTGAGACAATAAACTGACAATAGTTAAATTGACTATAATTATATTAGAGTGACAGTGGTATTCACAGGGGAAAAAAAAAAGACCATTAATATGTGTGTATCGACAGTTAACACATCATTAATGTTCATGTACAAAAAACAAAAACAAAAATTAGGATACATATTAAAAGAAATATAAGTTATACAGATGTTCTCAATAAAAAAACAATCATTAATATACTTTATGGTGATTTTTATAATGACTGGAACACTGCTATTTAAAAGTGTGGTCATATGCCCCAGTGTTATAGCTGACTGCAATTTAATAAAATTGAAATTAAGATTTTTATTAATATTTTGTATATAGGTGTCCCTCAATGATATATAGCATGGACAGACTGAGAAGAAATGGTATTTATCCTCAATTTCTTGTCTATTACAGGATAAGCAAATGCGTTTACTTCTTTCGATGTTGGTATAACACCCCCTTTCAATTGCTAGGGAATGGGCACTGAGTTTAAGTTTACTGAAAACTGATCTGTCTCTATATATTAAGGGGAATGCAACGTACTTAAACATATGGTCACATATATTGAGAGGAAGATCCCTATTGATTTTGAGGTCAGTATGTCTAAGGTCATGGTCATAGTTGCTAAAAATAGACCAAAATTTGTGCAGGAAAGAGGTTTTTTGATGCTTTATCAAATATTTAAAACCAGATTGCAAACTAACTTAGATATGTGGTCATATATTATGAGAAGAAGATCCCAATTGACTTTAAGTCACTAGGTCTTAGGTAAAATTTCATGTGACTAAATATAGCAGAATTGGCTTATTTCTACAGAGCACATGAGTTTATCCATGTTGTTGTTTAGATTCAAATTGCTCAATCTGAAGTTTTCTTTGTAGTGCATTGTAAACTCATCTTTTAGTTGTTGGTTTTTTTTTTTTTTAGCAATGTTGCCTGTTCCTCCACATCACAATTTTTATTTCTCACTTGTTTTTTTGCAAAGTAAAAAACAAATTTTAACAAACGTTGCAACATTAGCCATTACATAATGAACTGGAATTATAATGATTAATCTGTGTATGGGTATCATTAGACTTGCTACAATTCCCTTTCTTTTATTTCTTTCTTACTAATTATATGTTTACTGAAAACTGCCAGTATACTGATTGCCCTTGGAGAAAGGGCAGATGTCAGTATAATGGTAATCTCTTAGTTATAGCAGTAAAATTATTAAATGGGCAAAATTGAAAAAAAAAACATAATAAGGAAGGGACATGTAGCAAGTCTAAGGTATCATAGGAACTGGTATATTAAAAGAAGTTGATTGCTGCAGCATGTTTGCAAAGTGAGAATTGGACGATAAGATTAAACAGGAGTCCAAATTTTGAATCTGGAGAGACTACCCCTTCCTAATTTTAATTCTTAAAAGATCCCTACAGCAAAGCATTTTTTCACACTAGAAACAAATGCCAGGCACTGCATCACCTGAGACTTTCCGGGCCAAAAGGCCCAGCTGGGTACATTCTTGAAGAGCCTACACCAGAGTTCCAAATTTGGGGTCTTGGTAAACTACCTAGTGAGGTAATGCTGGCAATATATCAATATTTATACCAAATTTAGGGTTTCATTTAATTTTAATGGAAGAAAGTCAAAAAATTTCAGCTGATCAATCTATTAATTTGCATATATGTACAATACTTGGGGTGTTACTCGGGCCAATTGTTAAACCAGATAATTTGACCTGCAGCCTGTGATATCAAGAAAGCATTGAAGTTTATATATGCTCTTTCTCTCAAAACACATTTATCTGATGCTTTAGATGAACTCCGTCTCACGAAGGCTTCAGTTGACGATTCTAAAACAAAGCCTAACCTTACAAGAGAATCAGTTAAGCCAACTGTTTATTTAGTCTGTACTTCAAATATCCAAGGAATCAATGAAGATAAACTAACCACAGCAGCGCAAATCACCAAATTTACTGCATACACTCTGGATGACACCAGAAAATGCATTTCAAAGTTTAATCATCCTCCAGATATAATGGTACTTCATGTGTTAACTAATGATTTAAAATCTAAATCACCACAAGATTGTGTTAAAGAGCTAGGTGATATAATCTTATCAATGCAACAAAAATGGGTATCGATGAAAATCATAGTTTCACTCACAACACCTAGGACTACATAGATGAAGCTTAATACTTATATTAACTTACTGTTCAATTTACTTTCATACATATACAATTGTTTTTTTTTTATTTCCTAATTATATAATAAACACAAAGCTTAATTAATGACCAAGTGTCAAAATGGTGAAAATATTGATAGGCTAGGAGTGATTCACTTATTCATAATACGAATAGTCAAATTATTAATGCCCTTATGAAGCAGAGTTTTTCGGAAGTGAATGTTATGTTTGTTGATCACAGCAATATGGCTTTTGGTGGAAATCCTACACCAGAAATGCTTGCAGAGGATAAATTTTATCTTAGCACAAAGGGAATTGCTCAGTTAGCTAGCAATATTAAACAAGCCATTCACTCAACATTGGGTGTTCCATTACCCACCCGACATGATCGTAGTCACTCTCGTATCAATAGAGGACGTGGTAGAGGTTCCAGAGGTTGTGGAAGACAAACAACTCCATCCTGACATTAATTACTAATTTATACAATAGAATTTCAATACTGATTTTGTTAATCAAGGCAATATTGTTTTTTTTTTTGTATATGTAACATTATATTTTACAAAAGAATCAAAGGTCATAGATATATATATATATAGAACCTTATCAGTTTCAATTTCAATTTTGTCTATTCTAAAACGATAGACAAGTATTATTATATTATTTTCTTTTGTAAGTATATTTTTTTTTTTAGCAAAGGTTAAAATATAATAACCCATATGTCATTTTCAAATTTAAAAATGTGTTTTTGGAATGTTGGGGGACTCATTGCAAAGGGCTATGACAAAACTTGTGACCCCTTGTTCATTAAGTCAATAGACAAATATGATATTGCTTTTTTGGCTGAGACCCATTTAGGATATAACTCAACATTGAAAAATATTAGGTCATTCCACTATTATCCTATCTGTACAATACTACTTGTTCATATGCATCAGCCACGAGGAAGGACTTGACTCAAAAGCTTTTTAGCTCACCTGGCCCGAAGGGCCAAGTGAGCTTTTCTCATCACTTGGCGTCCGTCGTCCGTCGTCCTTAGTTGTCGTCGTCGTCGGTGTCGTTGTCGTAGTCCGTCGTCGTTAGCTTTTTACAAAAATCTTCTCCTCTGAAACCACTGGGCCAAATTTGACCAAACTTGGCCACAATCATCATTAGGGTATCTAGTTTAAAAAATGTGTCTGTTGACCCCACTAACCAACCAAGATGGCCACCATGGCTAAAAATAGAACATATGGGTAAAATGTAAATTTTGGCTTATATCTCTGAAACCAAAGCATTTAGAGTAAATCTGACATAGGGTAAAACTGATTATCAGGTCAAGATCTATCTGCCCTGAAATTTTCAGACAAATCTGACATTCTGTTGTTGGGTTGCTTCCCCTAAATTGGTAATTTTAAGGAAATTTTGCAGTTTTTGGTTATTATCTTGAATATTATTATAGATAGAGATAAACTGTAAACAGCAATAATGTTCAGCAAAGTAAGATCTACAAATAAGTTGCCATGACCAAAATTGTCAATCGACCCCTTTAGGAGTTATTGCCCTTAATAGTAAATTTTTAACAATTTTTTGTAAATTTTTGTAATCTTTTACAAAAATCTTCTTCTCTGAAACTACTGAGACAAATTTAACCATACTTGGCCATAATCATTATTAGGGTATCTAGTTTAAAAAATTTGTCCGATGACCCCGCCTTCCAACCATCATGGCCGACTTGGTTAAAAATAGAACATAGGGGTAAAATGCAGTTTTTGGTTTATATCTCTGAAACTAAAGCATTTAGAGCAAATCTGACATGTGGCAAAAATGTTCATCAGATTTAGATTTATCTGCCCTGAAATTTTCAGACGAATCCGACAACCCGTTGTTGGGTTGCTGCCCCTGAGTTAGTAATTTTACAAAAATTTTGCAGTTTTTTGTTATTATCTTAGATATCATTATAATATCTAATATGTAATACTATTAATTATGATTTTAACCTTATTTTACATGATTTCCAAAGCATCAGTAAATACAGGTGAGCGACACAGGCTCTTGAGAGCCTCTAGTTTGTTATTATCTTAGATATCATTATAATATCTAATATGTAATACTATTAATTATGATTTTAACCTTATTTTACATGATTTCCAAAGCATCAGTAAATACAGGTGAGCGACACAGGCTCTTGAGAGCCTCTAGTTTGTTATTATCTTAGATATCATTATAATATCTAATATCTAATACTATTAATTATGATTTTAACCTTATTTTACATGATTTCCAAAGCATCAGTAAATACAGGTGAGCGACACAGGCTCTTGAGAGCCTCTAGTTTGTTATTATCTTAGATATCATTATAATATCTAATATCTAATACTATTAATTATGATTTTAACCTTATTTTACATGATTTCCAAAGCATCAGTAAATACAGGTGAGCGACACAGGCTCTTGAGAGACTCTAGTTTTATAATGGATGTGATGCTGCTTCTGGTGCATGGTCAATAAACACTAAACATACTGGTTTACGTGACTACATGTATTATTAACACAATTTATATTTCATGTTTTTTTTCAGTTGTATTTCTTTTTTTTTTTTTATTTTCTTGTGTATTGTCTAATGCAATTGTGTGATATAAAAAATCAATGTACTGACTATGCCTATAATGGGTCCTCTATTGGAAATAAAATTTATCTTATCTTATAAGGAAAAATAAGATTTATCAACCAAGCTCCACTGTTGGCAAATAAAACGTTTCTGTGGAACCCTTATTTCAAATTAAAAAGGATAATGCGGTCATTAATGTTTGTCATAGTATAGTGAATTCTATTTGTACAGCAATGCATTTGACTTGTATTTTTTCAGAAGTCATTAATCAAACTTTGTAAAGTGTGCAAAGAAAGATAACTGGGGATGCAAAAATGAGTAGTGAAAAAGTATATAAAGGTGACAAATATTTGACTGATTGAAAGTTGAAAGGAAGGGAACAGAAGATTGTCTGGAGATGTTCCTGATGTTGTGTTTAAATATATCAGACCACCTTGTTGATTGTCTGGAAAATGAAAAGCTGCTTTCATCACTACACATCAGATTAAAAAATAGACAGACATTGCTATCAAACTTTACAAAACATCCAATTAATTCTATCAAAAAACTGACTTTCTCACTTGATCTTTGATCTGATTTCAAAAAAGAATTTGAACTTTAAGGAGATAGAGGTCAAAGTAATGGTGGGTGATTATTTTTGAGTAGTTAGACACATATCTTACAGAATAAACACCTTTTGTTTACATTTTTTATCATTTGAAACTTAAATCATCACAGGCATGAGAATCAATGTTTTCTTTTCCTTGAACATTAGTAACACATCAGAGATAACATATGCCCCCTGCAAGTTAAATGATCTGAATGAAGTCAGTACACTAAAATGTTTTGTTTATAGTACATGTTTCACAAATCTTAATTGATAATGGATTTTCATGGTTTTGCATATATACATGATAGTTAAGAATCTGGTGTGTTTTTATCTGTATTCAGCACTGGAGTATCATTATCAGCATCATTTTCGACAATTGTTCATCCTTACTATTAACTTCTCCTGATAAACAACATTAATTTTATATCTGCAATTCATGTCATGTTTTTTTTTTATTGGGTAATATTTTTAAAATATTTTTTTCTGATTCACTTAACATACTAAATAATAAATATTCAACTGATGGTGTAAAGAAGTTTTTATTTCCATGTAATCAGCTATGAACTTATTAATCAGTCAAAATCAAAATAGCAGTAGAATTCCCTCAAATTATTAAAAGAGTCGTACAATATCACTGGCTCCAACAAAGTTGAAAAATAGCAAGATTAGAATACAGCATAACTAATGAAGAGTATATAACAAAGCTACTTTTCATCCTCCCATTTCATGGTTCACACAATGGTGTATTGTGTCATACTTGTATTACTTTGTGCAAACGATCAAAAATGAGGGTCACTTGCAAACGATCAAAAATGAGGGTCACTTAACATCCATTAAGTTATACTGAACTGCTCATGTTTTACAAGTGTTTTATAATCGTAAGTATTTTTGTGAAAAGAGTCACAGGATTGTAAAAGTAATAATCCAAAAATTGATTATAGTGGTCAGTAATAACATCAACCACTGGATAACAAAAAGTAAAATAACAATAAACTGTTGACACAGAGATATGCCTCGCCTATTGGCATAAAATTCAGAAAAAGACAATCTGATGGACAGCAACATTGCTTATTAATTCAGTCATTGGACCATTATCTAGTGGGCAGGACCTGAAAATGGTTGACAAACTGAGATGTACAAACAGTAATGTAACCTTATAGAAAATATCGTTGTTTATTTTAAGTAGTTCCTATCAATATAACTTAAGCAGAAAAACTTAACATTGAAAATTGCTATTTAATTCAAAGTCACTGGACCATGACAAAGGGGCAGGGACTCGAAATAGTCTTCAAACTGATATGAACTGATAGGAATGGAACTTCATACAAAACATCATTGATCTATCACAAGTAGATCCTATCAAACTAACTAAAGCAGAATATTTAACATTGAAAATTGCTAATTAATTCAAAGTCACTGGACCATGTCCTAGGGGACAGAGCCTCAAAATAGTCGTCAAACTGATATGTACTGATAGTAATGCGACTTCATACAAAATATCATTGATCTATCACAAGTAGATCCTATCAAACTAACTTAAGCAGAAAACTTAACATTGCAAATGGCTAATTAATTCAGTCACTGGATCATGTCCTAGGGGGCAGGGCCTCAAAATAGTCGTCAAACTGATATGCACTGATAGTAATGCAACTTTATATTAAATATCAATGATCTATCAAAAGTAGTTCCTATCAAACTAACTTAAGCAGAAAACAATTGTTGACGCTGTCACCACAAAAGCAATCCCTATGTATCGCTTTCCGCAGGCGAGACAAAAATACTGCACTCCAACGAAAATTCATAACGGAAAGTCCCTTATCAAATGGCAAAATCAAAAGCTCAAACACACCAAACGAAAGGAGAACAACTCTGGCTTTGGACAGGCACATAAAAAATGAGGCTTGGTTGAACATGTTTGTGAGCACTCAACCCAATGCCTTACCTCAGGGCACAGCATTTATAAGTTAACTTGTAAATTTCAACAACAAAACAAATGCCCTCTGTATCTACTTACAATTATTGGATTATATACTGTAAATTCCGAAATTATTGCGTACATTTTTTATTGAGATTTTTGAAGAATGGACAAAAATGTGAGATTAATCATTGCAATTTCAGTAAACTATGCATACAGATATACCGTATAGCGGGTTATTTTCGCGGGGTGTTTATTTTCGCTTATTTTGGCTGGTAAGGGGAAATGCGAAATTAAATTCCATGAAAATTTATGCATACTTTCGGTACTTTCTAATAACTAAAGCGTTTTGTAGAATATTTATTTATTTCCCGTTCGTCGTATCAATAATAATTCATGTTAATTTAAAATACATAAATGCAAAATGCCAGTGTTCACTGGCTGTCAGGTATTAATTACTTAATTGGTTACATAATAGTTTAATTAATAATATAAGAGTGTAAGGTACTTTGTCAGGTATTTTATCCTTATTGATTAATGTCAAATTATATAAGAGTTGCAAGTCACTCATGATAATTTAATAATCTAATTAGTACATCAAAGGTCCAGTCAATTTTGTAACTAACCAACTGTAACATTTACAAGAAGTTTGTACACCTGTGACACATATTTAAGTAGCGGTATTGGTTAACTGTATCAAAATATTATCAATAAATAAGACGTCATGCAGGTAAAACAATCATTTAACCATAACAATAGACGCTTCTTTGTCAATTTTTTACAACTTTTTGACTGCAACCATTTTAGTATCCGCTAAAATATTTAATTGGGATTAAAGAATCCGCCAAAATAAAAACCGCCAAAATTTTTTGTACACTTTGTTGCCCCTAAATCGTGAAATTTTACACCCGCGAAAATAACCCGCTATACGGTATGTATCAAATATCAGAATGCAATATTATTGAGATACTCACTCAGTCGCATTATTCGCATTAATAAAAACCTCACAATAGTTTCTGAATTTACACTAATGTAATTAATATTCCAGTACTACAATTTAAAAGACATTCTTACGATAAAAAGATTTTTTTGAAATATGGCTATTTGGATAGTGAATATTATAGGAAATAAGTTTAAGGCCTTGACCTTACAGCTTGAAATTCCTTAAAAATCAGTATTAGGTCGCTATCTCATTGATGTATACCAATATCTCTTAAATGTTTGAAAAAGAGAACACCAAGTCGTTCTTACTGGTTATCAACTTCCTAAGCAATGGATATTCAACCAATGACAAGACAAGATTTTTAATTAAGTGCATGAACAGTTAATAAAACCATCCAAAATCATAATTAATCTCACATTTTTGTTAGTTGTACAATGTACATCAATTGCAATAACAAATGAACACTGATTTCTGAATTTGCAGTACCATATATAGGATTCTTGAGAAAAGGTGGTTATAACTCTAAAATTGTATACTTTGTCCCTCCCCCAAAAAACAAACTCATTATACACCTTAAAACTTTATTTTTGCATGTAACTGTACAAAGAAAGATAACTTTATCAGCTAAAATGTGTTTTTGTACAGCTATTTAGAAATTTAGAACACAGTCTGTTATCATACACCCGGCCATTTCATAGTTGTAATTGGTTATAGTTCATATAAAGGTGATTACTATCCGACCCAAAGACTGACTATCATCTGATGACCACTGGTGGTAGTGGGCGTATACTGGGTACCAACATCCTCAAGTTGATTTAAGTACCAGTTACAACAGTTTTGACTACATTACTAATTGCAACAACTGTATCTCTAGATGTGTCTTGCAACGACATTCCAAGTATCACTGGTTTTGTGCTGTCTATTTTGGAGAGCAAATTTTTGGCAAGAACATGGGTCAAAGGCTGAAAAAGACAAAGATATTCATGTAGGTTTTGAAGACTTAAAAATATTTCAGGACTAAGACAGGCAATCCTCAATTGTTCCCATGATTATAATTTAAAGATATTGCATCAAAATCAGCCAGTATTTATGAACATTAAGTTTTATTTTAAACAAGCATTCTGAGAGTATTGCATGGCAATACATAGTCCCCTACTGGTTAAAAATTCACTGTACTGGAACAAAATGCTAACTTGATCTATAACTTGTCATGGTGCAATTTATATAACAAATATCAAGTCAATATCTTCAAGCATGATGAAAAAAAGTGTGGAAAACTTATTATTTAAGTTAATTTTATAAGTCAAAGAACCATAACTCTGCAAAAAAATCATCAGACCAGAACAAAAATCCAACTTGATCCGTAACTTATCATGATAAAGCTATATACCAATTATCCATTCAATATCAAGCATGACCAAAAAAAGTGAGGAAAACTGATTATTTGAGTGAATTTTCTAAGTCTAAGGACCATAACTCTGCACAAAATCATCAGACCAGACCAAAATTCGAACTTGATCTGTTACTTGTCATGATATAGCTATATACCAATTATCAAATCAACATCTTCAAGCATGACCAAAAACAAATTGTGGAAAACTGATTATTTGAGTGAATTTTCTAAGTTCAAGGACCATAACTCTGCACAAAATCATCCGACCAGAACAAAATTCGAACTTGATCTGTAACTTGTCACGATAAAACAATACACCCAATATTAAATCAATATCTTCAAGCATGACGAAAAAAAGTGCGGAAAACTGATTTGCCTGACTGACGGATGGACAGACAGGCAGACAGACAGACAGATGGACGGAGTGCAAACCTAAAGTCCCCTTTGACTTCATCAGTAGGGGACTAATAAACACTGATGTTGAGAGCATTTTTTATTTTATGCAAATTCAACCAATCAGTAATCTTTTTTGCAATAGCTGTGGTTGTATTTTATGAGAAGGAAATATATGACATGTTATTAGTCCCCTACTGACGAAGTCAAAGGGGACTTTAGGTTTGCACTCCGTCTGTCTGTCTGTCAGTCCGGCAAATCAGTTTTCCACACTTTTTTTCTTCATGCTTGAAGATATTGATTTGAAAATTGTATATAGTTTTATCATGACAAGTTACAGATCAATTACGAATTTTGTTCCGGTCTGATGATTTTGTGCAGAGTTATGGTCCTTGGACTAAGAAAATTCACTTAAATAATCAGTTTTCAACACTTTTTTTCGTCATGCTTGAAGATATTGACTTGATATTTGTTATATAGTTTACACCATGACAAGTTATAGATCAAGTTAGAACGTTGTTCCAATACAATGAAATTTTAACCGGTAGGGGACTATGTATTGCCATGCAATACTCACAGAATGCTTGTTTTATTTCTGAATTTCTTGAAAATCTTTATCTTTATTTTCTTTCTTTTTTTCCATCAGTTTTACTTAAATGGCTGATATTGACTCATTTTAAAAGTATTAGGATGATCATTGTTGGTAAAATCTGCCAAGAACAAGAACAAGTCCTCATCTGTTCATAACAATAAGATTTAATATAGCAAGGAGGTAGATGGGAGACAAGTCATGACATACATTGTCATCAATTAGCATATATATACCATAGATAGAGTAAATAGAAAGATATTCTATTTTCTACATCAGCATACACGGACAATCCACAAATTCTTACAGCCATTTCTTATCATTAAAATAAGATTAGGGGTGAACATCAATGAGAAAGCAACCCAACAACACCATCAAACAAAAAGCCATCAACATGTCAATATTTAACTTCAATGGTAGATAAGACTGACATTAAGAAAATTAATTATACAAAATCATTTAGACAAAATGCCACTTACTGAAAAGATGTGGGAATTATGACAGGCACATGGGATGATTAGATTTGTTAGTATAAGTACTAATTCTTCCCCCAGTTATCCTAATTGTAGAATAGCACAAAGGTACAGAGTCAAATCTCACTATAAAAACTAGTCAACAAATTTGTTTTTTATAAAAATAGTATTATCCTTTACAGATGGCGTTCACTCCATAATGAAAAATAATAAAATGTACATATACTTTTATTCAATACAAAATAATCAAAGAACACCTGCAAAGTACAGAATCTGTTGATAAAGAAGTCATCTTCCCTTATAATCTATTACCTAATTAGATTTCATAGAATAACTTCACTAACGGTGCAGAACGACACAACCATGTGCAATTCCCATAGTACTTTTGTGCACAGATTTTCAGGGTCAGTACTTAGTACTTAGAAATGAATCGTTGGTGGTAATTGTCGAGAGCAAGTTTTTTTCTAAGGATTCACATTTAAATAATTGTATGAATGTGAGGCTGAATGAAACTTCAATGGTTCAGCAAAAAAGTGCCTTGGTGTAGAAAAGTAAACAAGTCATTGCAGGTGTAAAATATTTTAGAATTCAAAGCTGATATAAGAATCTATCGCTTATGTAAATGTATAGAATACATGTATATGTTGCTGTGGTAATATTAGAGTTAAATAATCTTCAATGAAAGCAGGAAACTCTTCTGTGGTTTATAAATTGTAGTATGCAATTGCAAGAGGTCATGTCTTGATCTCCTGGTAGGTCAAACCAAAGACCTCAAAGTAAGTATTTGCAGTTTCTCTATAGCATGCAGTATAAGGAGTGAGGTCAATGACTATGCTTTGCAAGCTTGATTTTTAAAAATCTACACATCATGTAGGATTAACTAGTACAAATCAGGCTTTATTCTTTTGACATATGTTATTGTCCCAAATATGCATAAAATACTTGGTCATGGATATTCAGCACTCATTGATCAACCAACAATCCTAGCCCAGTTGTTTTTATGAATGAGTTACATCGAATGACCTGCGGTCAATCAGCATAAACAAAGTCATTGAAAAATGGGTTCATGCTGTGAAGTAATACAAACATAAGCTTTGTGACAAAGGAAATGTATCGTAAAATCCATGTATCTAAAAGTCGTCTACTGTAAACCAGCAAATTTTTGGGCCGTCTTTTTTCGCGATTTGTCATCTGAATCTTAATTCGTGATGTTTTAAATTCACAATGAAAGGGTCCTTTACAAATTTTAATAAATGACGTTGAAACACTTATAAAAGTGGTACATGTATCGTAAATCAAGTGTCTGGACAAAGTGAACAGATATTGTCAGTTCATGAATTTAAAATATAAAGTTATTTGATTGATATTACTAGTAAGTTAAATTAAACCTCTATATTTATGTTTGCTTGTAAAAACACAAAAACAAATAAAAGAGAAGAATTGTCTACTTAAGCTTTGAGGATTTCAAGTAATTAATCTTTTGATCATAATAATCTCTGTAGCAGATGCAATATGGTAATTAGTTCAAAAATTATTAAAATGTGTCATTAACTTAACTGTCACGGGTGTTGTTTAATAACAATATCAATAATTTGCACTTGCTCGAGATGACTTTCATTTGAATTCGACTGTCATGAGTTAAAGTTTTGATTTCTGATGCTGCCCTTTATTTATTAAAAAAAGTCTGTAAAATTGTTTTTATAAATTGCTCCAGTTCATAAACCTATTGGTATAGGTTCATGTATGGTCCTCATCCTTTAAATTGATTTTCCTTGAAAAATTCGCACCAGTTCCTTTTATTTTTTGCGTTTCACCTCTTACCGCTAAATTAGCGAATAATAAAACTGCCGCAAAAGTTTCCCTGTTTACAGTATATAAAAGCAATAAAATTAGGCCTACATGGAAAACAAACAACAGAACAAATTAATCTTTTTATCAAATCAATAGCAATATAAGAGAACAGAGTTCCAATGTCCCCCGTCTTGCACATATTTTAACTGTTCTGTCCAAGGACAATAACAAAAAAAAAATGTTTTTGTTCTTTAAAACTTTTTAAAATGATCTTACTAGAGAGTTGAAGACTTGAGAACAATTTCCGATATATTTAATATTTCCAAGGGAAACTCTTTAAAAATATTCGATGGGCTCTTATTTTTAAAATTGTCTGAGACATTGCTGTTATATACCTTTGATATGAATTTGATAAAAATCTGCAAAAATTGTACATGCGAGAGCATTTACAATGCAATTTTCCATAAAATCAATGTTTTAAAGGGGCTTAACACTTTTAAAATAATTGGTCAGTACTGATTTCCGAAACTCGTTAAAGACATTGCTCATATAAACCTATGATATAAGTTTCATAAAAATCTGGCAAGAATTGTACAAATTAAGAGTGCTAACAATGTAATTTTCCATATAATTAATGTTTCCAAGGGGCATAACTCTTTTAAAAATAATTGATCAGCACTGATTTTCGAACTTGTCCAAGACATTGCTAATATAAACCTATGATATAAGTTTCATAAAAGTCTAACAAGAATTGTACACATGACAGCGCTAACGATGCAATTTTCCATAAAATTAATGTGTCCAAGGGGCATAACTCTTTTAAAATTGTTTATCCGCACTGATTTTCGAACTCCTCCAAGATATTGCTGATATAAATCTATGATATAAGTTTCATAAAAATCTTGCAGGAATTGTTCATGTGAGAGCGCTTACAAAACCGGATGGACACCTGCTATTTTCATGTCCCCGCAGCACGTTACGCGGAGGACAATAAATGTATGATACAGATTTCAGTGTGCATGTCATCATCAGTGTTTTGAGGATGATGATGAGGGATGGCTGCTTAACGTCCAGCAGCAAATTAATATGCATATTCAGGACGAGAACATGTTAATGTAATACGAATATTAACCCTGCTTTGTACTAGACCGACAAGCTGAGCCGGATTTTTAACGTGGCAGTTCACAAGGTAAAAGTCTGCAGGAAGACATATCACCTTACCTGGACACATTATTCTGACTCCAAGCTGACCAGTCTTTGCTCTTACTCCTTAATGCTGCAGCAAATACCAATACAAAAGTTTTTCATTTGACCAGGTCAGGGTAAGTGTTTGGAAAGTCAAACATATCAAAACATTAAAAACCATCAAAACTATTGAAGGCCTAAACAGGAACAGCCAAAATCTCCTACATTTAAAATCTAAATTGCAAAAATATTTAGCCAAGTTATGATTTTATGAATTTTATGGATTTGTAATAAAAGAAGCAGGTTCTTGTGTTTGGAGGTGTTTTTTTAGGTGGTGAAAACGGTAAAGTCTGCTAAAAATACTGAGTTTTGTGATAAAAACAACTTCTTGCCCTTGTACACAAAAAGAAAGCTTAAGTTACCATGGCTTTATGCGTCTTTACATTACCTCATCAACGCCTAGTAGAACTCGTGTTGAATACATTGGTTGTCTTCCTGCTTCTTCGTCTAACACCACATCTCTTTGTACTTCTATCTATTCAATAAATAAAATCAAAACCAACTATTATTTCAAGTGCTTTCTGTGTAATACTTTGTTTCATTTAATACAAGTGGTGAGCATCTAAGACTTCTGGATGAATCATTTGATGCTATTCCTAGTGAAAAATATCAAAGATATTGTATCAGACTAGTAATGTATAAAAATATTTTCTTATAGCAGATAAGATGGTATTAAAATAAAATTATGCTTAATAACCTAAATATTTATGTTTTAGTCAACAAATATCATCAACTGGTTCAGCATTCAGCCTTCTTTCTGGTGCGGATTATCCATTACAAAAATCATACTTACATAGGCCATCAGCTTATTTTCAACACTTAAATTTTAAAAGGGGTGCATGCTAAGGCTAATAAATTTGGTTATCCCCTGAAATAATTGATGCGTGTTTTCTTATGCCTTGATTTTAAATTGTAAAGGAATTTCTGATGCACTGTAGACGCCAAGAGATGGCAAAGGTTTACCCTGGTTATAAATTCTGAGTTATCAAGCCCATGTATTGAAACTAGCAATAATATTCAGTATTCCTTTTTATTACATGTATTAACAATGTGCTGATATTTCTATTTTCAATATACAGTTTTTTGTACTGCTTACACATATAGTTTATCTATACTCAGTGGTATGAATTTAACTTACCAAATTTCCAATCTTGTTAAGCTGTGTGACTATAATAAATAGCTTATCACTAAAATGGCTGCAGAGAACCTGTGTATTGTGTCCACCAATTAATTCTGTTGTCTGAAACAAATTTAACTAAACCTTTATCAAGACTAAAGAATTTTGAATATCTATTTTTCATTCCTGAAAAGATAGTATTTTTATTTTATTTTTTTCATCATGGATAAAAGAGTTATAGTTTTCATTTTAATTCAGTCTTTATTTTTCAATATTTATATTTCAGACTTCCAGTGTTTGTTAAATTGAATTAGAGTTAGGGTTATTGCCCTTTGTACACAATCTTATATTGTATACTTACTACTTAAAGGGTTTCAATTTTTACAGCGGATGACCTTGAGGGCATTCCTGTGTTATGTTGCCGCAGACATTTCTACCCACATGACTTGCGTTTTTGACTGATAACCGAACGTGTTTTGTATAAATACGCGGATATCATCGAGTGCAAAATAACATTCCTCATCTCTTGTAATAAATTCATTTCTTCAATGAATACTCATGAAAATATTTTTTAAGAACATAAATAAATATGAAAATGTTTTGTCCTGAGAAATATATATATATAAGTAAAAAAATCATTAATATCTATGCACACGTACCGAAAAATTGTGTTTGCGGATGAATATCACTTATCGCTTGTTATATATTAATTTCATCAATACATATTCATTAGCGGGAGAAATATGAATGCCTACTAAAATCAAACCTATTAGAAAAACGAATTATTACAGAAGAGTGTCCACCATGCACTTGCACTGCACTATCATTAGAATACATTGTAATAGAATAGAATGATGGTATAAATGGATGAAAATTTGCCGGTAGGGTTATTAAGATGATCTGCTATATATATAACTGTTGTACAAATATTAATATAATATATAACAACAAACCAGATTATACTGATAACAAATGATTGTCCCATGATTATATCACTACAATATAATAATTATTACGGTGAGGTTGAATTCTCTGTCATTTATTCATCATCCACACAGGAACTTGTCTCAGAAAAAATAAATGTGGACACAGATGATGCCCCCGCTTGCATATCATATAGTTATAAAGGGACATAACTGAAGAACGGTAAAAGTGACGCTACCCAAATTTGAACTTGATCTGAGTTTTGTGGTAATATGCATTGTGTGTAAGTCTCATAACATTTGGTTGAGGCTAACTTAAGTAGAGAACAGAAACTAAAAATTCAGCAATTTTTCTATTTGTAAACACGCATAACTCTAGAACGGTTGTGTATAAGTTTTACAACATTTGGTTGAGACAAACTAAAAAATTCAGCAATTTTTATGTTTATAAAGGGACATAACTCTAGAATGGTAAAAGTGTTGCCACCTAATTTCGTACTTAATCTGTATTATGTAGTAATAAGCATTGTGTATAAGTTTCATAACATTTTGTTGAGGCAAACTCAAGTTAGAGAACTGAAACAAAAAAATTGTACTTGATCCTTACTGAGTTTTGTGGTAATGAATATTGTGTATAGGTTTCATAATGTTTGGCTGGGGAAAACTTCAGTTACAGAATGGAAACTAAAAAATTTGCAATCTTTCTATTTATAAAGGGGCATAACTCAATAATGGTTAAAGTGACACTACCCAAATTCAACTTGATCTGTGTTTTATCAGTGGAAGTCAAAATTAAACATTGCGTTGTATAAAGCATTGATTGTAGTTGATTCAACTATAATCATGGTCAAAGGAAGATAACTCCAATTTAAAAAATATATTATATAAACTTGATATTTAGAAGAAAATAAAAATTTTGCAATTTTTCCTTTTATAAAGGGGCATAACTCTAGATTGGTTAAAGTGACACCACCAAAATTCAAACTTGATCTGTGTTTTATGGTAATAAGCATTGTGTATAAGTTTCATAACATTTGGTTGAGGCAAACTCAAGTTAGAGAACGGAAACCAATTTCGGGACGTACGGACGGACAAGGGTAAAACTTAATGCCCCCTCCGCTACGGCGGGGGCATAATAATCTATGTACCTTAACCTAACTTTCAGGTATAGAGATATTTTATTTTTTCTGAGACAAGTGCCTGTGACTGTCCACCAGAACTTGCGGTTATCTGATGTTCAGTACTTCAGTACTTTGATTATATCTATATAGCATATTTAATATGTCAGTGTTTAGGTAGCATCCATAAAAATCCTCCAAATGATTTAATTCTTATATCACCTAAGAACCTACATGTAGTAACACCAACATTGGAATTGTTTCCCATTGAAGTTATGCAATAAGTATTCATCATCTACAATTTTTTGCCAAAGTATAAGAATAAGAATAAGAATATTTTATTTTCCAATTGAAGGGCCCTATAAAGAGCTTTTATCACATTACATACAAATACAATAAGATTCGACATCAATTGAGAAACATACAAGAAAACAACACAGTTTTACAATAACTGTTATATAAGGACAGGACAGAACCAGATAATACAAATAACATCTATAAACTATACCACTCAAAATAAGTATACATGGTATATGTATGGCTAATTTGCATTTATTATCTTTGAACTTCTCCTTATTTCCAGATTTTTAGATAAAGTATATATTTCATATAAAATCTCTTTTTTCAAAACATTATTGTGAGGTTACTTCTGATTGAATTTTAATCAACTAAGCGGAATTTTCCTATGCTTATTTGGTTAAATATTTGTTGTAAAGTGTTCTCATTTTCTAATGAATTATTTTTTGTCTGGAAATTTGCTACACATTGCAACAAAATCAATAAGTACAAAATTATTATGCATGGTCACATCAGGAGAAAGCAATGACAATGAAGAAAAAAAATATGAACAAATAATCACACTATATAATTAAAATTAAATCTCTGCATTTGCTCATTTTTTTATGCTTGAACGCATTGTGACTGCAAAGATTTAATTTTAATTAGATTGATAAACAAAAATACTTCAGACAATTCTGTGTCTTTCAACACAAAGTTTCTTAAAACCCAACGTACACTGTAACACATTAATCAATATGAGGTAGAGCACAGGAATAGAGTGAGCTTAGTGCTAAGGAGGAACAACCTGTATTTTATTTATTTTGATACATGATATTTAATATGCTTTTAGTCATAACCATTGATATACAAAAAAAAATTGCCTCAACCTGAAGAAAGAACACAGTGGTTTGTTGAGCATGACCATGACAGTAATTGTCTTCCATAGAAATATCAAGAACAGTTTGCCTTTATTTTAGCATTCCTAAGATTCATAAACCTTACACAAAGAGTTTATATTATGCTGAAGACTATCAATTGTCTTAGTCTAACCTGTTTACCTGTTTTGTTTTCACTGGGAAACTTGAACTTGCACTTGTCATGGTGTTTAATTATGTCCCCTGATTGTGACAAGGGGAAGATAACCATGTCGACAAACCAGAAGGAAAACATGACCGATTTTGTCAGCATTGCTTACGCTTTAACAGTGACAGCAGGCGGATTGCTTGGTTATATTAGAGCAGGTTGATATATTCGGCCATTTCCTACATCAAAATCGTCTTCAATAAGAATGACACACATTAATATCCCCATTTGAAAATGTGAAACAAACACGTCCATCCTCTTGAGCTTTTTTGTCATTTGACAATTTATTTGAGTGTGACTGGAGTATATACACATGTCGATGTGTATATCGTGGACTGACTAACAAGGACCTCAAATAAACTTGATAATATGAATACCAACAGCTGACATGACATGGATCATATGCATAATTTTGAGGTTCCATTCAAGTCTTTCATGTAACCTGCACATGGATTCTGGCATATCAAAAGTCAAAATCTAGGACAAGGTCTAATCTTCTAATCTGTGTTTTTATGACAATGTTAACTGTCAAGTGCTTTGTCTCTCTTAAATGTATTAATATCTATATTGTAATTACTCTACTTTTTGTTTATCAGTGTTTTTTACACAGGCACTAATGTCTTTGAAAAAAAAAATCCTATATACCTTAATCAGAGACATATAATACAATTATATGTCTCTGCCTTAATCAATGGACCTTAATATAGGATTTTTTAAACAGAGAAAAGTGCCTGTGGTTTTTTAATAAAAAATATTATCAGTCCATAAAAAAAAATCTATTGTTAAAAGAAAAACATAGAATGAAGGGAGAAATTAATAGCAATCTTTTTCTTAAAAATCAAAGTCCAAACATTCACTGCACTACAATGGCTACTTTAACGAAAGTATTAAGAGAGATCGATTACAGGGAATGGGACTTTATAATATTGGACTATCATCAATTAAAAACACATAAGCAACACAGCATTGTTGTGATATATAAAGAATTATATGTTTGTCATGTTTGTTGGGATAATCTTTTATCTTGAAAATACAACAAATTTTTGCCATTCAATAAATATGTATTAACACAACATCAAGAACTGCTGATATTTTTTATTTTAAGTTTATTCAGTTTTTAATTGAGAATTGTTTTATTCATAGGAAGTATTCCTTCTCTTGCTGCTGGTGTGGTTTGTGGTGGATTAATGGGAGTTGGTGCTTACCAGACATCACAGGATCCTAAAAACATTGGTCTCTCTCTTGGTGGGTATTTTGTAACTGTATTATCACAAGAACAAGTTTTTGATACTAAGAATCTCTCCTTTCATTTTTGGGAATGTACATTTAAGCAAACTCAGTTGGAGTTATATTGTATTATGCATGTGTGAATGTTACAGAACATGAACATGAAAGAAATAATCACAACCAGGAGCACATACTCTTTTATCATGTTTATGTGTTGTTCCTCAGTTGTCCAAATAATTGAATATTCATTGTCTTCTTGATATGTATTGATTGGTTAATGAATCAACCAATCAATCAACCAACCAGTAAGTTAATCAATCAAACAATCAACAAATCAATCAACCAGTCAATAAAATAACCAATCAACCAATCACCAATCACAATGGATTAAAAGATCATTAAATATAAGGTGCATCTTATTTTTCTTGAATTGAAGAAAAAACAATTGTAGTGCATATCAATAGGTTTTTCGTCTGCTAGCCATTTATTTTCTTCATAGAACAAATATGAATATTTGCACCTCCTGTTTTATTTTTGCTTGTCTGAATGGTTTTGGGGAACTTCCATAGGAAAACAGTGACTTTGGCTTTGTCATATATATTCAAACAGGGGAGCAGGTGACCTAGTTGATTAATAGTAGTGTGTCTATTCATTCACTTCATCTTCAATCATTAGTTCCTTCAATCCTATGAAGTGTATTTCAACAACTAACTAAAAACCCAAGTCCTTTTGTGTTGTTGATCAACATGCAGTTAAATATCTAAAGGGTAAAAATATCCAATGATGTAGATCTTTGCTTTTCTAATTTTTTGAATTGGTAATTGAATTAACTAGTTAAACTGTTGCAGTAGCTCAGATAATTGTGGATAGGGAACTATCAATGAGTTAAGGGATATATATATAAATATATAAATAGAAATTGTAATATAAATAATTATATACTTTGTAGTCACCAGTGCCTTACTGACAGGGGTAATGGGATATAGATTTATGAACTCGGGGAAATTTATGCCAGCAGGATTAGTAGCTGGCTTAAGGTAAGCTATTGTTTTAAAGATAGAAAGGTATATTTATATATAGATTTATAAATAGGTGGACTCTATTTTTTGATAAAAGTCAATATGTACAATCGTATCTATTAAGGGAAAAGTATGACCAATTCACTTTCCAGAGCAAAAGTGGCAAATAAGAAGTATGAACTAAACAAGGCAGCATTGATAAACAAATGAAACTAGCCTGAAGAAAACTTCAAATGTTTATATTTCTGTGTTAATGACATATTAGAAAGGTTTTAACAATACTGAACTTACCTAAATGTTCAAAGCATTCTATTAATTAATATGTAAAATGGTCCAGTGACAAATATAATGGTGTCGTTATCAAATCTTTATTGTAAACAGACTGAAATAGATATAAGAAGATGTGGTCAGGGCTCGACAATAACGCTTGTCCGATTGTCCGGTACCAGAGGAAAAAAAGGTCGGACAAGTAAAAGCTATATCAAGCTTGTCCGACGGGACAAGTTAAATTATTATGCAGAAAATAAATTTAATCCAACTTTGATGAACAAAGTAATTATAAACAAAAAACAAAAAAAGAAGATAAAACACAAGTATTAATTTGACATGTTTACTTGCAATCGATAATTTAAAACTGGTTCTTTGTCAGGTACTTTTTAACAGGTAAAAGGCATACATGTACTATTCTCGGAAACCAGTCTTACTGATCCGAATCAGCGATGCGCTTTGTAGATAAGGTAACTTTACAAGACAGTTCGTCACCAGCTCGGAAACGATTCGGCTCCAAGTTTAATAGACAATTTGGCACCGTAGGAGACATATTTAATAGACATGATTAATAGACAGTTTGGCAACGCAGGAGACATTTCGGGACCAAGACAAATCAGTACCTCGTTTTCCTACCTTATTCTGTTGCTTTATAATAAATACCATACCGTATTTTTTTTAACAAAAATATTTTTTAAATAAAAATGAAGAAATTATTTACCATAAAATTCCCAAATCATATTTGATCATATATAGAAGAAAAAAACAATACTTGCAATACGGTGACCTATAGTTATTAATTTCTTTGTCATTTGGTCTCTTGCAGAGAGTTGTCTCATTGGCAATCATACCTCATCTTCTTTTTTTTTATTGATTGAATTTGAAGAAACTTTTTTCAACTTAAAAAACCAGGATACAAATCCAATGAGTGGAAATTGACAGGCCTATCAGACGGTGCCTCATGTGTAGAGTCTGATGAGACTTTGGCATTGATGAAAACTAGAACATAAGTCCTATGACATGACTAGATTCAGTTGTTCTCGACTCATATTTTTAAAAGGTATTTCAAAAGATATAAATCAAATTCTGTTCTATTGTTTTAATTCATTTTGTTCCTTGAATCAACTTAAAATGCAAAAAAGATTATTATTAAGATTTTTGTTGGACAAGTTACAATTTCATTCGGACAAGTAAGTTTTGGTATGTACTTGTCCTACTGGACAAGTTGGAAAAAAAGTTATTGTAGAGGCCTGGTGGTATGAGTGAAACTCCATCAATCAATTGTCTGCAGATGTCAATTTTAAATACAATGCTAACAAAGTTTGCAAGCAAGTCAACCAAATTTCTGATCAATATGGATTTCAATAATAGCTTTATTTCTTTTGTTAGTGAGTTTATAATGATATTCTGTTAAAAAGCACACCATAGCTCATGTTTTGATTTGTTATTATATACAAATAATCAAATATTATATAAAAATTACTTACCCACAAGTTATCTGTATCATTAGCAACCATACCACATATCATTATTTTTTATATTGCATTTATATAATATATGGTCAACTAAAAAGATAACTCTTGTTGATATATCCTTAGTTAATGCATCATAAAATGAATATTTTTATTTATTTCAGTGTGTTAATGGTGTGTAGGTATGGATACAGATTTATGAAATGATGAACACTAAGAACTATGCAGCAATATTGTTATAGTTATCACTATTATTTTATATGTTTTGAAACCTAAATAGTGTGAAACTTGTCATTTTGATAAATGTCTGTTATGAAATAGTAAAATAACATTCTTATATTAATGTGTTCAATTTATTTTGTGATAGAGGTTTGCCACAAGCAACCAGTTTATTTTTACATTTGAACAAAAATGGAGTTGATAAAAAAAGGGTGAACCATTTGCTTTGACCAAATCCTTTGTCCTTGTTTCATTTACACTCAAAACAATTTTCAAAATTGTTTAAAATTGAAGTCCGATACCTCAATGTGTTTTTAAAAGATTGGGTTCAATTGAAATGCCATACTGCTTGATAATAAGATGGCTGGTTTCATAATTATAAAAAGTTTTCTTTATTTATGAAAAAGGTAAAAATGTTCAGACAATAATACTGATGTCAAGTTTATTGATTTACCAATACAAATATGTAAGTTTAACTGAACATAAGTAAGAATGGAAGCCTTTTCACCAATGTAGAGTATAACAGTTTTTATGCATTGTCCTTCTAGTGCCAAGATATTTATACCCATCCTATAAAGTAGGAGGGGGAGGGGGGATCGGGGGGTGTATATTGTTTTTTTACCTGTCTGTTTTTCTGTCAGTAATTTTCATATCTTGATGCTCTGATACTTTAATATAAAGTCACATATAATGAGAGGAAGGTCTGTATTGATTTTTAGGTTACCAGGTAAAAGTCATGGTCATAGTTAATATAAAAACACTGAAATTTGTACAGAAAAGTGGTTTCCAGATGCTAAATCAAAAACTAAATCTAAGATAGCAACCTTACTTTGTTATCAATACCTCAAAAGACGGTAATTATTACTAAAAATAAACCAACACTTGTGCAGAAAAGATGTTTCCTGATGCTTCATCAAATACTACATTGGGATTGTTAACTTACTTGGATATATGGTCATATATAGTCATATCATATGTTTTTGTACGTCATATCAATTCGTACTATGCATGCTTTTTCAATTGAAATTGTGACGTCACAATGCATTCTTAATAGCACGAAAACCCATGAGACGAGGATATAATGAGAACAATTCAATCCCTCTTGCTTTTAAGGTCAATATGTGCAAGTCACGAGTCATTGTTACTTATGATAGACTGCAATTTGTGCTGAAAAGGGGTTTTCTGATGCTTAATCATATACTACATATGGATTTGCAACCTTTCTTCGAAACATGGTCACATAATAAAGAAGATCTCAATGAATTTTCATGTAAAATGAAAATGGAAACAGGGAATGCGTCAAAGAGACAACAACCCGACCAAAGAGCAGAAAACAGCCCAAGGCATCCAATGTGATGTCACTATTTGTAAGGCCAATGTCAAAGTTACTAAAACAGACAAAAATTTGTGCAGAAAAGTGGTGCTAAGACTATATATAATGTCATTGCAGCCTTACTTGGATATATGTACACATTGTAAAATAAGAAGAACATTCCAATGGTCTAAAAATAGATATGTGTAAGACACAATTATTGTCTAAAAGCATAACAGAAAAGAAAGGTCCAAATCCTGTCATTTTATTTCAAGTATATCAACCAGAATAAATCATAAACTCCATTTTAAACTGATTACTAATTACATGCAACTCATCATTATGCAAGTTGGTTAATAACTGCAATCGTACAACATAAAACCCAGCTAACACGACTTTTCTAATTGAAATTATTTTGGTCCACATAAATTTCACTAAATTTGTTGAGAAAAAATTAAGGACAGAAATTCAGTCCAAATAAAGTTAATCCCAATAAAGTATGCATTATCTGTATCCTCATTGTGCAATTAAATTATCACAGCAATATCTGCAAGCACAAGTGAACATAAGCCTTGCTCCAAATATTATCATGTATAATTTAGTATCATTCTAAAATGATAGTTATAATATTTATATTTATTTTAAATAATGGAGAAACTTTATGGAAACCTTAATGATGATCAATGAATGAACCAGGATATTAGGTCAAGGTCACATAGTAACAATTACATATATTGTAATGTCATCACAAACTTAATAAAATGCTTCGCTGGGCGCAGCTTGATACGACCGCAGAGGTCGAACCCTGAACAGTTGGGGCAAGTATGGACACAACATTCAAGCTTGATACAGCTCTGAATTTGGATTGTGATTAAATATTTGACACAGCATAGGTTTCTGACACAGAAAGAATGTGGTCTAAGAACTTCAATTTTTTTAATTTACCTATTATGGTCCAATGTCCAAAATCAAAATACATGGTTAGAATCAGCATATCAAAGAACCTCATATATTCAATTTTTGTTGAAATCAAACAAAGTTTAATTTTGGACCCCAACTTGGACAAACTTGAAAACTGGTCCCATAATCAAAAATCTAAACACATGTTTAGATTCAGCATATCAAAGTACCAAAAGAATTCAATTTTTGTTAAAATCAAACTAAGTTTAATTTTGGACCCTTTGGACCTTAATGTAGACAAATTTAAAAAACGGGACCCTAAATTAAAAATCTAAAAACACAGTTAGATTTGGCATATCAAAGAACCCCAATAATTCAATTTTTGATGAAATCAAACAAAGTTTAATTTTGGACCCTTTTGACCTCAATATGAACCAATTTGATAGCGGGCCCACAAATAAAAAGTCTAAATACATGGTAAGATTCAGCATATCAAAGAACCCCATATATTCAATTTTTGTTGAAATCAAACAAAGTTTAATTTTGGACCCCAATTTGGACCATCTTGAAAACTGGGCCAAAAATCTAAAATCTAAATACATGTTTAGATTCAGCATATCAAAGAACCCCATATATTCAATTTTTGTTGAAATCAAACAAAGTTTAATTTTGGACCCCAACTTGGACCAACTTGAAAACTGGTCCCATAATCAAAAATCTAAACACATGTTTAGATTCAGCATATCAAAGAACCCCAAAAATTCAATTTTTGTTAAAATCAAACTAAGTTTAATTTTGGACCCTTTGGACCTTAATGTAGACCAATTTGAAAAACAGGACCCAAAATTAAAAATCTAAATACACGGTTAGATTTGGCATATCAAAGAACCCCAATAATTCAATTTTTGATGATATCAAACAAAGTTTAATTTTGGACCCTTTTGACCTCAATATGAACCAATTTGATAGCGGGCCCACAAATAAAAAATCTAAATACTTGGTAAGATTCAGCATATCAAAGAACCCCATATATTCAATTTTTGTTGAAATCAAACAAAGTTTAATTTTGGACCCCAATTTGGACCAACTTGAAAACTGGGCCAAAAATCTAAAATCTAAATACATGTTTAGATTCAGCATATCAAAGAACCCCATATATTCAATTTTTGTTGAAATCAAACAAAGTTTAATTTTGGACCCCAACTTGGACCAACTTGAAAACTGGTCCCATAATCAAAAATCTAAACACATGTTTAGATTCAGCATATCAAAGAACCCTAAGAATTCAATTTTTGTTAAAATCAAACTAAGTTTAATTTTGGACCCTTTGGACCTTAATGTAGACAAATTTAAAAAACAGGACCCAAAATTAAAAATCTAAATACACGGTTAGATTTGGCATATCAAAGAACCCCAATAATTCAATTTTTGATGAAATCAAACAAAGTTTAATTTTGGACCCTTTGGACCTCAATGTGGACCAATTTAAAAACGGGGCCCAAAATCTAAAAACTTAATACACGGTTAGATTCAGCATATTAAAGAACCCCAAGAATTCAAGAATAAAACCCCATTGAAATTGATCAAGAAATAAGCAATTTATACGAAGTATCTTCTTTTGCACAATACTGTGCAATTGAATATTTCTTGCTATTGCGCAATACTGTACAATTGACAAGTTCTTGCTATTGCGCAATATTGTGCTATTGGATATTTCTTGCTATTGCGCAATACTGTTAAATTGAAGATTTCTTGCTATTGCGCAATACTGTGCAATTGAAGATTTCTTGCTATTGTGCAATACTGTGCAATTGAAAATTTCTTGCTATTGCACAATACTTATTATATAATAATTTACACATCCTGTTTGGTGTGTATCTCCTACCATATCATTATTATTTGCTTTTAAATATAAATCAGAAATAACCAACTTAAAATGGAAAATTTTAAAAGTAAAAAAAAGGAAAAAAAGAAAAAAAAAAAAAAAAAAATCCCCCCCCCCAAATTTTTTGAACCCCCTTATGATTCATCACCCCCAAACTCAATCCCAGCCTTCCCTTTGTGGTATGGTACCTTGCAGTACAATTTCAGAGAGATCCATACACTTGAACACAAGTTATTGTCTGGAAACTAGAAAAATGCTTATTTTTGGCCCCTTTTTGGCCCCCAATTCCTAAACGTTTCGGGCAATTACCCCCAAACTCAATTCCAGCTTTCCCTTTGTGATATGGAACCTTGTAGTACAATTTCAGAAATATCCAAACACTTACACACAAGTTATTGTCATGAAACTAGAAAAATGCTTGTTTTTTGCCCCTTTTTTGGCCCCTAATTCCTAAAATTTTGAGGCAATTACCCCCAAAATCAATTACAGCCTTCCCTTTGTGATATGGAACCTTGTGGTACAATGTCAGAGAGATCCATACACTTACACACAAGTTATTGTCTGAAAGTTACAAAAATGCTTATTTTTGGCCCCTTTTTGGCCCCTAATTCCTTAACTGTTGGTACCATAACCCCCAAAATCAATCCCAACCTTCCTTTTGTGGTATTGAACCTTATGGTGAAATTTCATGGAGATCCATTCACTTAAACTAAAGTTAGAGTGCGAAAACCAATGTGTCTTCGGACGACGCCGGACGACGACGACGACGACGACGACGACGACGACGACGACGACGCCAACGTCATACCAATATACGACCAAAAAATTTTTAATTTTTGCGGTCGTATAAAAAGGCCGTTAGTTTTCTCGTATGAATTGTTTCACATTTTTCATATCCTGTCTTTTTATAGCTGACTATATGGTATGTGTTTTTCTCATTGTTCAAGGCCGCGAGGTGGCCTATAATTGCTTATTTACCACTTCACTTCATTTTAACTCTGGTGGATAGTTGTCTCATTGGTAATCATACCACATCTCCTTATTTTTATATTGAACAGTATTTTTCTTTTCTAAATACCATGAAAATGAGATTAAGGCCAACAGAAATTTTCCAGATGGAAACTTCATACCATAAGTCAGTGTGTAGAAGATATGGATTCTCACACCCTTATTCCTTCTGAAATATATTATACACTGGATATTGCTGCAACCAGATAAGCATCACTATGCCTTGTATTTTGTGACATGAGTCTCTTATTATTATATGGAAAAGAGTTCATCTTTATTGGTTGATATATCAAAGACAAAGTTTATGCCATTGGGTTATGGAGTTATAATACAACATGTGAAAATTCTCCTTCCACCATTTCATTTGACTTACAAGTGTGAATTTTCAATGGATGGCTAAACACACTAAACACACAGCTGTATACCCTTGATAAGACAACAGACATAAAAACAAGCATTCTTAAAGTATTGCATGGCAATAGTCCCCTAACGGGTAAAAATTCATTATACTGGAACAAAATGCTAACTTGTTCTATAACTTGTCATGGTGTAAACAAAAAGTAAATATCATGTCAATATCTTCAAGCATGACTAAAAACAGTGTTGAAAACTGATTATATGAGTGAATTTTTCAAGTCCAAGGACCATAACTCTGCACAAAATTATTAAACGGAAACAAAAATTTGAACTTGATCTGTAACTTGTCATGATAAAACTATATACCAATTATCAATCAATATCTTATAAGCATGATGAAAAAAACATTAGATATGATTAATAGTTCTCTAGAATTAGATATGATGTAATACAGTGTATATCTATTTCAAATTATAATGAGATATAATTAATAGTTCCAAATATTTTTTTCTTTCATTTGTCACAAACTAATATAGGTTTGTAACTTATCTATAAAATGTCAACAACTTGTATCTACACAATGTAATGTATTGAAATATATACATTAATAAAAATAGATTATTATCTAATTAAAGGATTTCTCTTTATAATTTTTTTTGATATATACAGCATTCAGAAAATTCGTTTATACAAAATAACAAACAAATCTGCCAAAAAAATCTTCAAATAATTTACCAAAGAATGTCTTTTAAAAAATGAGTTATCTCCCTTTGTACAGAAATATGGTTTAACATAGTACTCTAACATTAGATATGGTCCAGAGTTATGGTCCATAACTCTGGACTAAATCATCAGACTGGAACAAAATTCGAACTTGATCTATAACTTGTCATGGCAAAACTATATACCAAATATCAAATCAATATCTTCAAGAACGAAGAAAAAAAGTGTGGAAAGCTGATTTGCCGGATGGACAGACGGACGGAGTGCAAACCTAAAGTCCCCTTTGACTTCGTCGGTAGGGGAATAAAAATGTAATAAATTTATGATAAAAAATCTTGTAAAGGAAGATAAATGACCTGAATGAATACAGTTATTCATTTTATTGGGGAAATACCAGGTAATCAATACAGGCTATCTAGTTGCAAAAGAATTTGGAGAATAATGGACATCTACATACAAGTTAAAATTTTTTTTAACTGTGTTGATTTTGACAAGTTGTTTTATGAGGGACTATTATATATCAATGATATATAATTGAAGTTGTGATAGTCAATAGTCTTAAACTTTTGGTCTATTTAAATACAATAGTTCTAAATTTAAAACACAATCTTTCTTGAAAATCAATAATTCAGATTTTCAGAAAGTAGGATATGATCATTTTAACTCCCTTTGAAATATACCAATTAAAAACAATTAAATTTTCCACTGATTTTGCAGAAATTTGATTAATTTATAAAAGAAAATTAAAATTTTACTATAAACACATTTAACTTGTAAAATATTTATAGCTCAGTTTACTTGATGATTTATTTATTTGATAAACTAGGAGTTTATTATGTAAATTAATCTGATATGTCTTTATCATTTAAAAAAAATAGCTGGATACATAACAAGTTCAAAATATTGTTCCAGTGGAGACCTTGTGCCTCTGGAGGCTTTTCGGTGCAGTATCTATTTCTAAATTTATTTTCAGTGGTTTCCTCCAGAGGTATAAATGTCTCTGGTTTTTTTTTAAAGACATAAATATAAAAATAAGAAGATGTGGCATGATTGCCAAAGAGATAACTCTCCACCAGAGACCTAATGACAAAGAAGTTAACAACTATAGGACAACATACAGCCTTCAACAATGAGCAAAACCCGTACCACCATATAAAAGGCTCCGAAATGACATTAAATCGAGAAAAACAAATATCATCCCTGGTAAACCATCAAATCTCAACCAAATGTTTAATCGAGAAAAAAGTTTACTGGCACTTCCTGTTGAGATTTTCTGGTACAAAATATCAAAAATATAGATAGGGTAGGTCGACTTTCATCAATTTATTGTCAATCTGTATATATTTTGTTAAACAGGAAATTTTAATTCCATAGATAACTAAATGAGAGCTTGTCTTGTTCATTACTCGGACCAATGTTATTTAAAATGACATCTGAATGACTTTTCTCCCGCAGGTAAGTGCGGCCAGCTCAGGGAGTTCAGTATATAAGTGTTCTTCTTAATCAGTATAAACGTATAATAACAGTATTTTTTTAATTTCTTATGAATTTAATTTTATTAAGCTGAATATAATATAAAGTATGTCAGGTTAAGATTGTCTGGTATCGGTTGTGATATTCTGGATTATTACATTGGTAGCAATGAATTACATTGATTTCCCAGTCAAATAAAAACCGATAATTTCACATGTGAAATAAACGTGGTTATTTCACTCTCTGACGTCATACAACAATAGGCGTTGTCAAGACGTCGATAACGTCGGATCAAAACAAATTGTGAATGCGTAGAAAAAAGATATAGTTCCTTACATTTTCTACATTAATTTCATTAAAAAAAGCCATTTGCCAATGTAATAAAAAGAATAACTAATCAAAGAATTCAAATATCGAAAAATATTCAACTCGTGACAGAACAACACTGATAATTAACTCATGCGCTACGCGCATTCGTGAATTAATGTGTTGTTCGGTCACTCGTTGAATATTTTTCTCTATTTGAATTCTTCGATTAGTTATTATATAAACAATGTTGACTTACTGTCGAATAAAATTTTCAACTAGCTATGTATCAATCGGATGCAACCGTCAACATTCATGAACTTTCTGTATAGTGGTTGTCATTATAACTTGTTTCTGGTTTTGACATTAGTTTTATATGGAGTCTTGTTGGTCTAAAACAGATACTAAAGAGTTGTGTTTTTAAAGTCTAGCGCTGAAGATCGAAAGTCAAGCACAGTACGTATAAAGTTCGGCGAAGTAGATGCAAAGTCCAGCGTTGTAGATCTTAATTTTCAGGGTTGTAGATTCAAAGTCCTGCCTTGCCTCCTAACAAATAAGGCTTACTGTTGTGTCATGTATGTGCATATGTATGGAAACAGCAACTTCCATAGATTTGATCTACAAAGGTAAAATAGAATCTCTTTTAGGTGTTACCAAGGAAACAATTTGCATTTATTTGATACAAAACAGTCTGGATTCTACTTTGTCAAAATCATCTCCCCATTAGCCACCTAATTTTTATAAATATTAAAATGGAAGCCATTGTAGTGATGACGCGCTGTCAATTTAGCGCTTGAAAACCGATAAATTTATCCACATAGCATCATTACGAAATATGCCAGTTGTATTTTAAAAGACAAATGTATCTACTCTAGCTATTGAGCATCATTTAATGTACTTTTATGCATTTGGTCAACCTAAAACTGTTGTCTGATCGGTTGTCAGGGGGAATTTTCGAAAGTTCAAAAATATTTAAAAAAATTCTAATTAAATAATTCGTGGAAGGGCAGACTAAAAATTTTCAGAGGTTGAAGACTAATTACCCTAGATAACACACACAGTTATGCATTTTTAAGATCCACTTGAAAAGTCTGTCGTCAAGTACTTTTAGTAAAAATTTGTTATTCGAACACACCTACTCTGTTGTTATGACTCATTCGAAAGGTATTTCACTTATCCCATATATTTCATTTTTTTAGTACTGTAAATTTTTAATGTTATATCAACCTAGAGCCTAAATATATAAAAAAATAATAGAATCTGAAGCGAGATGATGTATCAATTATTTTTCTTTTATACGTTTGCAAGACAGAATAGTCAACTCAAACACACCGGAATATGAAAAGGTGTACTCGACTTTCTCTTTTCGATGAATTTATTGCCCATTATGGGGATTTTCTCCAAAAAAACTGTCGCCGGGGATAGAGATGCAAATTAAGGCTTTAAAAAAGATCAATCTATTATCTTTCTTTGGAATTTTTTTCGGCGGAATTTTTGCTTATGCACAAAAAAGATCCACATGAATTTGCACCTACCACAATCGACTGTTTTGTGAAAATTTGTCTATAATTTAAAAGTTTACAAATATCTCGAAACTCCATACCATAATTTAAGTAAAAACACATACGTAAGACGCATAAAATCCTAAATTAGGCACATTCATTAAACTTTTAAAGCCCATAGAAACAAATGTAAACAATTCAAATTTACCAACTTGTCCTTTTTTACCTTCTCTAACAAGGAGTTCCATTTCTTTTGTTTAATTTCAACTGGGTTTCCGCCTGAAAATATTGCAAAAAGGGTGA